GAACATTTTCAGTAGTTAAAAGTTATGTTTGAGAAAAGGGGGGGGGGGCAGCCCGCCTCATGCCCCATGCTATGTGCCTGCACGGAGAGGCATGAAAGAGATACAGTTGTATATAGACAAAGATAAACGCAGTATTATGCATCTTGCTTCATTGATTTCATCTTGAGGATATTTTCCAACATTCTATCGCCCGCGTGGCGCAGTGGTTAGAGCGTCTGCCCTAGAGTCGCGGAGTAAGGAGTTGATCCTTACGTCGCGGGTTCGAATCCCACCGTGGGACGTGGAGACCGGTCCTTCGGATGAGACCGTATAAACCGAGGTCCCGTGTCGCAGTAGGTGCTGGCACGAAAAAGATCCCTCACTGCTCAATGGCCATAAGTGCCGAGTACAGGACAAAAATTTGCAGCTCTCCACCGGCAAGTGGTGGCGTCTCCATATGAGTGAAACATTCTCGAAAGGGACGTTAAACAACAAACAATCAATCAATCCAACATTCTAATTAATCACTACCTGTACTAGACTTAACTGGATTTTTTGTTATAAATTTTGGATACCCAGGGGTCCAAACTATATAATAAACTAAGTATTTTTGATTTTCAAGAACACCAAAAATGAGAAACCGTCAAAGACAGACGACGAAAGGTAAAGCCAGAGAGGGTGCAGTTGTACACGACGAGGCAGAACCCCAGAGGTCAATCAAAGCCCGGAAGAGGAAATTTGAGGATGAACAAAATGATAAAGGCGAGTCACCAATCAACCAAATCATGTCTATATTGTCATCAAATTTTCTACACAATATACATCGTGTGGTATCCATTATGATTTTATTAACTTAATTTGAAAGAACAGTGTAATCTTTGCAACAATTTGTCTAATTAATGTGAGGATTTTGACATATATATTTATGTTAAAATGTAAAGACTATATCCTTCAACTAAACAATAAAAAAGCAACGTCAAACGCAAGGACAAAGTCAGTAACCCAGTTTTTTTTCTTTTATGAGAAGTCTATTAGCATGCTAAAAAACCAAATCTAAACTTTTTATCGTTCAAGAAAATTGGTATCATGGTATGATTTTTAAATTAGGTCAAAAGTTCAAAACCCAGGGTATTGTCTAATACCTTTCATCGGACAGTTATCGAATAAAGGTCTCTAGTTTGTGGTTTCCTGTTGATTGGCGTTTCTCATGTTTACATTGCAACGTTTTATTAATTCATTTTATATTTTTTACATGACAAGGTGTGACACAGAAAATATTTAGATCATGAATGCATTATTAACACTTATGTTGAATGTTATACTTTCAGTCAACAACCCCACAAAAGATGTCTTTAAACGAAGACGAATCCATATAAGACAAAATGATCACGGTACGAAAAAGAAAGCATCATTATCGGTCAGTGGACGTAGAAGTCAGCCTATGGCAAAAAGAAACCCTAAAGGAAAACAGAAAAAAATACATAATGAAAACAAGAAAACATCTGAAAAAATCGGAAGAAAATACCGCACATAATTTAGTATTTCAGACAAAGGAACCTAAAAGACTGACTCGATCTTCCATTAAAAATGTTGGCAACAGGGAAAAGGGGGGAGTAAACAAGGACTCGGATTCCAAATTGAGGCAACAAATAAAGAGAACTCGGAAGAGTAAAGAATGTTTTCCGAAAGAGACTGACAAATCAAGGGAAAATAAACAGCCAAAGACCTCAAATAAGACCTCAAATTTCCAAGGTAGAAGTCTTGCTTTTCGAAAATCTAATCAAAAGAAAGATATTCGCCAGAGTAGACAAGCCGAAAGCTGTAATAAGTCAAAAGCGTCAAAAGCAAGTAAAAATAAAATCAGTCTACAGAAAAAGGAAAGCATGAAGTTAGTGAAAAAAACACAGGATATTGAGGCATCGACAAGTCATTCATCTGAAAAAGATTTTACTGATTTATTTTTGAAGAAAATCGCAGTGCAACTTCATCCTATATCAGGCTCCTTGGGAGAGATACATGAAATCAGTGTATCTCATGATAATTTACTTTGGGTGAACTATTTGTACAATGCTGTACATCTTCGAGACACAGCAGGCAAGATTCTCAGATCTTTCAAATTGGATGCTAGAGCTGTATTTAGTTGTTGTACACCTGGAGGTGACCTTCTGTTGACGTAGGGTTACGGTGGCAATTCTTAACCTGTCATAACTCTACTATCAAGAAAAGGGAATAGCAAAGTTCTAGCTGATCTTTCTTCTTATGCTACTTATCTCTTTGGAATATTGTTTAAAGATGAAAGAATATATGTTGTTGCAAATCGTGCAGAAAGTAGCAAGTACTTTATTGTCAAACTGGATATGAATGGTGAAGTTGAATCTGTATACAGTACAGAAAATGCACATGATAGTATAAATCAGATTATTTTTCTAAATGATCAGATAGTTGCGTTTCGCATTAATGCTGTTGATATGCTTCCCCTAGAGACTGGAGCAATTTCCTCTGTTGCGATGAATAAAGTGAATATACGGAACTCATACTCAGGAAGTGCATCTACTGACAATCTTGGAAATGTAATCATAGGTTCAAATGCACAGCTCTTCATCATCAACCCAAGTCTAGAGCTCGTGTATAAACTAGATACTGGTATTTCTGGCCGTATCATTTCAACAGCTGTAGATCAGCATAACCAGTTGTGGTTCGGTACCGCCGATGGAAAACTATACTCAACCAAATATCTTAAATGATTCTATATGTACAAAACACCTCGGGGGTGTCAAAGAGATATATTATTATTATTATTATATTATTCTGATATTTCAGTTTCATGACTTTTTTTGTAAAGAGACTAGAGATCGAATTAAACTCTGCATATTAAAAAAAATTAAAAGTAAAGAACCAACTCTTTTTCTTATGAAGATATATACTTTGTTTACCTTTAAAATTCAAAGATAGCCCGAAAAGTGTAAACCTGATCTTAGACTTTAAAAGTCATAAAGTTTCTCTGCAGAATTTTGGAGATCAAAACGAGCGGAGCAAAGTCTCAAGACATGAAGTAAAGAAAAAAAAGCTGCCAGTTTAGAAGGAACCTGAAATTTGATTAAGTTCCGAAACAGTGAAAGCCAAACAAATGTTACAAAATATCAATGTCAAATCTAAAGAAAGGAGCAATACTGCGCGATCACAAAATTATAAGAAAACTTAAGTTAAAACCAGTTATGATACTGAAGCAAATAAGTGAATAGATAAAGTAGAGGAATAAATGAGAACACATTGAATAGTTGGGTACAAACTGGAACACAAAACAGAAAATTTCGTAATGCCAACAGTTGTTTTAAAGAAACTTTGCAAGTTCCATCCTATAGCTATTTCACGTCTCATAACAAGGATAAACGGTATCAGTGTATCAAAAACATTTTTTAATGAATCATCTATGAGAGGAGTCATTACTTCAGATCCTTAAGCTTGTTTCGAATTAGATGACACTTCACAATCAGATGGTCCTCACACAGAGATGTGCACTGCTTATTGGTTCCAAATTGTTCATCGCATTGAAATGTCAGGGTTCTACTCGATCTTTTTTCCAGCATTTAACAAATTTCTGAAATAGAATTTTCCGCTAAAATAAAGGAATATATGTTTTTCCTTACTGAAGATTACATAATGTGTACCTTATTTTCAAAATAAGTATGAATGAAGAAGTTGAATACGTACACAGTTGACAAAAGTGAGATTCTATCATGGTTTCAGTTTACAGTAAATGCATCGGTTGACAATATTAGAAACATTAATCATGGCATCCGTACCTCCTGTACAAAAAGTGCGTCAGTAGACAATATTGGAATTGTTATTGTGACATTCTGTATATGCAAAAAAACTTATTATCCACTCGAGTTTAGCCCCACCCCACCCCCCACCCCGTGAAAATATTGGAAATGTTATAGTGGCATTCCATGTATGCAAAAACTCATTATCAACTCAAATTTAGAGCCCCCCCCCCCTGCGAAATAGTGACCTATTTGGACACATCTTCTCAACCACTATTGATCACGATAATCCATAATGATTAGTTGCGGACTCTCGTGAGAATACTGAAACGGTTGTATATAGTAATTTCACAGAATTTTCATATGTACTTTACAAACCGTAGACCTGTCTAGACCAATAAGCTTGATAGTTTTCCGTTTTCTATAGTTTTGACATTCTCTATAATTTAAGTTTGGTTGACTTTACATATATTTCTTTTATATTTTAAATAATGTATTGAATCATAAATCTTTTATCAATGAGAAAAAGTCTTTTCATGAAGCTTCTTTAATTTTGATAGTACAGTAAAGAATTGATTCAATTACATGTAGATAATAAAAAATCAACTACAAACTGAAGATCAACAACACCAACATTTCACGAGAGTTATTTGGTATTTATAAGCGAGACAACATTTTCAAGAATTCTGGATATTGTTGTATGTGATCTTTTAGAATATAAATACACTCGAGAATGAGATTTTTCGCGAGCAGAGGGTAAATAAATGCCTAATTACGCAATAATAAAATTCTCGCGAAGAAAAGTGATTTACAGTAACATCGATCTATACAAATTTAAGTTTCTTAATACATATGTATATATAACACACACAGTTCAGAGTGATTCTCTGCATTCCTCAAAGAATATGAATAATTGCTAGTTTTAATCGTATTTATTGGCAAATGAAGGAATTCATGTACTATATCAATCTGTTAAACATTTAGAGTTCATATTCTTACATTATATAGCTACAAGAATACTTTGGAACAGACTGGCGATAGCATATGCAAGATATATGAATAGGCGCATTGTCAGTCTTCACGTACCAGTTTACCAAAAAGAAGTACCAGTTTAATAGACCACTATATGCAAAGTGGGACGAACACTTCTGAAGTTAGCTGCATTGTGATCGACTGAGCGAATAGGCAAGGCTCAAAATTAATCTACATTGCTTGACACTGCTCACCGAAGAGTTCTAATTCCATGGTTATTTTTTTTGCAGTTAGAGTGATCTGCCCCTTTACATGGAAATTCCATCTTTGCAAGCCAAGAGTTTGTGAGGAGCGTACTGGGTCCAAAACTATTTGATTGTGAGGATGAATTCTACAGTAAATGGCAAAATTTGAAATGGGTAAAGTATTCTTAACATTATATTAAACAAAGATAAAGTAATTGAAAATACCATTTGCATGTATTTTTCCCAGTGTTTTCTGTTTACTAGTATTTCATCGTCTTTGAGCATTTTTTTCCGGAAAATTATGACAGTTACCCGAACTAGATAAACTCAGAATATATGTGCACATTTATATGACAAAATTCAATTCAGTAAGTGTTGAGAGCTTCCTTAATGGTCATGATTCAGAACATAATTCCTCTGAAACCAGCATTATAAACATTTCTTTAATTTTATCGAAGAGCCAAAGCATGCAAAGTTACCTTTGTCCGCTGCATCTGCAAGGTTTTATTGTCATCATTATTTTCATGTTTAAGTTTCTTATATTGTACAGGGCCACTATTTGCCGGTATTTCATAATCTTAATCATACTACTTAGCTCATGTTTTTAAGTGATAATTTTGATGTTTGTCTTTAAATATTATAAAATAATTACTTATTGGATTGAATAAAATTCTCCTAGTTACTGTAGATTTTTTTCTATGGTCACAGAGACGCACATAAAACATAAAGATAAAAATAGGTTCATGCGTCACCACATGGTCAGGTACACGGATATTGCACGATCTTTTATTTTCTATTGAGGCCTGGGTCCACAATTGTTTCTTAAAGGGACTAAAGTCATCATGAGGACAAAGCAACAACTTCCGACAAAATTATCTTTTCAGGTATACAGGATCAAGGATAATATCATAGGGAAATGTCCAGGATACTTCCCAGACTCGGATGTAGATGGTTTCATATTAGTTATGTGGTCACTGGTCACGGAGAAAATTTATGCATCCGAATAATAGCTCGTACAATTACGGCATAAAATACTAATAAGGGGGTTTAAGGTAAAGGGACTAGTAGAAGAACATCTCCCTGACAGAGTGCTTGCAAAATCATGACAGGTAACATTGTTATTACCTTGGAAATATGTCTCAAAGCAGGGAACCCCCCTTTTATTAACAAATTTTGTTTCTTACCTTGTGTGTTTTTATTACAGTATACCGTACAAAGTCATTCTCTAAACATAAGAAAAAGTACAATCTGCTTGCATAGAACGACATATGGATGTGGTTGAAAGGGAATTTTTTTTTTAGAAATTACAAGCTCTTACATTTTTTAATTAAAAGGGGGGAAGGGGGCTATCGATCCACACTTCGGGCTCCTAATTACCCTAGCTCTCTGTTCACTTTTTCACTTTGATAAAGCTTAAATCAACTTATTGTTGTCTCTTGCCAACTAAACTCTGATCTCCTTGAATTTACCTGACAATAAGACGTCGTTTGTCCAACAGAACACAACACATACTAAGTACAATTGGCCATTTTGCTACATAAATAATCTTTATTTCAATCTTTTATACTGCTTTCCAGGCAAGAATGCCTTGCTTGTATAAACCAAGCACTCATTTTTATTTTGTTTCTATATAAAAAAAAAACATTCTTTCTTGTATTCTCATTCCATCAAATAATCTGTTAATTAAATTATATACAAGGATTTCTTGATTAAGCACAATTTAGCAAACGGGAGTAACTCTCATTTGCTTCACTTATTACAAATTTTTGTACTCTGTTTGCCTCCCGGATACCCTGGAGCAGAGAAAGGGCACTTTAACTTAAATTTATAATAATTTACATTATTATTGTTGCATTTAGTCTGTTTGCTTAATACTCAGGGAAAGAGAAGATTTTCAAAGCATTAATGCATTTTTGTACAAGATTAATAGAGCCCCAACCAAACATCAGAACCCCTGACCCAGGGGCCATGATATTCACCATTTTGAAAGAGGCACCCTTGCTTATCATAACTAGGCATTAAGTTTGTTTGCTTAATACCAAGGGGCAGAGGAGATTGATTAATTAATTGATTGTATGTTGATTAACGTCCCATTCGAGAATTTTTTACTCATCCCGGTGAAGGACTTCAAATTTTGACCTTTACTCGGCACTCAGGGCAATTGAGCAGTGAGGGATCTTTATCGTGCCAACGCCTGCCGTAACACGAGGCCTCGGTTTTTAAGGTCTCATCCGAAGGACCCGCAACTTTCACTTTAAAGTGCCGAGCGCATGGCGAAGGAACATTTGCTACCCATTTTTTTTTATCGACTTAGGTCAGTCGCGCTACCGACTGAGCTACCGTGAACTGTGGGCTGAGGAGAAGATGTTCAAAGCATAAATTCATTTTCAGTATATGATAAATAAGCCCCACCCAGGGGTCATATCTTTGACAATTTTTGAAGAGGCACCCTTCCTCATCATAATTATCTACTTAGTTCATCGGCTTAATACCCAGGAGCAGAGGAAAAGATTTTCAAAGAATTATTGCATTATTAGAGCCTCGCCCTAGTACCAGAACCCCTGACCCAGGGGCCATGAAATTCAAAATTTTGGAAGAGGCATCCTTCTTCATCAGAGGAGAAGATTTTCAAAGAAATAGTGCATTTTCACTATACAATGTATAAACATAAGAGCCCGGCTCTAACACCAGAATCCCTGACCCAGGGGCCATGAAATTCACAATATTCGAAGAGGCACCCTCCCTCATCATAATTACATGTATGTAGTTCATCAGCGTAATACCCGTGAGCAGAGATCCAACTTAACACCAGAATCCCTTACCTAGGAGCTATGAAATTTACAATTTTGGTAGACGCACGCCCCTTCCTCATCATAACTATCCATTTAGTTTGTTTGCTTAATACCCAGGAGCAAAGGAGATTTTGAAAAAATAATGCATTTTCACTATATATTCAACGGAGCCCCGCCCTAACACCAGACCCCCTGACCCTTGGGCCATGAATTTCACAATTTTGGTAGAGGGCTCATACCAACAGTTCGACTGCTTGATGTCCAGGAGTAAAGAAGAAGATTTTTAGAGATTAATTTTGGTAGTTTTAGCCCCACACCTCAAGCCCCAGTGGACAGGGACAACGAAATTCACATTTATTTTTCCCCTTCACCCATAGATACTATATACCAAATTTGGTTGAAATTGGTAGAGCGGTTTCAGAGAAGAAGCTGAAAATATTCAAATGTTAACGCACATCGCACAACGACAGACGAAAACAGATAGCAATAGTTCACCTGAGTAAACTCAGGTGACCTAAAAATATACTTAATAAAGGTCAGTATTATTAAATTTAAACTCCTGCAGTAAATCTGCGCACAATATCGATCAGGAATTATCGTTCATTATTATGTTGGATAAGCATGAATATACATGTTAAAGGCGTTGGAAGATCGAACAGGTAAGTTTCCAGATTGAATGAAAGTAAATTATGTGTACACCTTGCAAAAACTAATAAGTACTTTTTTTTTAAAGAAACTTAGGGGACTAGTGCTACATACGTCAAAACTATATGCATCAACTGAAGCGTTTATAATGACTATAAGATTCTGTGTACATTTTTATTCCAGGATATTGGATCTTAACGAATGCCTATAAATATGTATGATACATAATGATACATAAACACATTGATACATGAGAATGTAGTACCCATTATCCTAAATATACTAGTATATTCTTACTTAATACGGACGGTATTGGTTAATAAACTTGCATTCAAGTTTAGACAGTAAAACAAGGCAGTTTGACTTGTAGTGAATGTGACTTACATTTATGATATTTTTTATACAAATTTTATTTGAGAAGCTGTTTCTTAAAAATAAAAGTAATTTCTTAATATAATGAATTAAATCCTATTCAAGGACACTTTGTAAGTACTAGTGATCAAAATGTTGATAAATTCTTGTTACCACCTATGTTCTTCCTTAATTTACCAGACTTATGAAAGTAAAATTTATTACATTTCATTATTATCATTATCCTTAACATTCCTTTTAACTAGTACCTCTGCGTTAAGTGCGATTTCTCATAATAATAATAATAATTATTATTATTATACACAATTTATAAAGCGCTAAATATAATATAAATTACTCTAAAGCGCTGTATACCAATGTAGACATAAAAACTTTACAAATATAAGAACTTAAAAATTACATGTCAAACACCTTAAGAATATACACGCACATATACATGTATATATATATACATGTATATACTTTAAAAAGGATTAGAAATATTTCCGTGTAAAATGCTCTTCTGTCCAATGTTAAAAGAAAATTTAAAATAAATGAGCAGTTTTAAAAGTAAGTTCTTAAGAATAATCTGGGCACGCTAAAGTAAATAGATAAGTTTTTAATATTTTTTTAAAACGATTAAAATTTCTAAATGAAATTAAACACAATTTTAGAAATTTACAGTCGTTTTGATAATTTTTCGAATGTCTACCACTTAGTGTCCGAGCATTAAATACCTGTAGTTACTAGATCTATATGTACCACGACCGAGAAATTTACATTTGTCAGTTTCTGAATGTCAAAAATTCTGCTCCACGCAAAATGAACGTATTTTTGATTTGCAGATGAATCAAGAATGAAAAAACACCAAAGACAAACTAAATCTGCTACCAGAGACAGGTCTGTAGGCAAAGAGACGGTACCCTTGAAAACGTATAACCTCCGGAAACGGAAATGTGAGAGTGGACAATATGGACAAGGTGTGTCATTTAAGTCATTGTCATTGATAAAACAGGCTGCTTAAATTCTGCTCTGGATGCATAAAGAGTCCAATATTTTGCTTGGGATTTTTTAAAAATCGTCTTTAGTAGACAACTTCATTTTTATGAATTTATAAGTCCTTGTGTATCTAAAGTTTTACTTTTGTTTTCTATGCATGTCCAATTTATAAGTCCTTGAACAGGTTAAGTTTATATGCATTATTAATGTCTAGTCTAATCGCATCTCTACTTTTTAACATTATGTCATTTAACAATATTAATCCTTCTAAGTTAACTTAGCATTCAATAGCTCTTCTAGCATTGACTTCAGAAGGTTGCCAAAAAATAAAAATAAAACATACAGACCTACACACACACCAAACTAAAAATAATAAAAAGAAATTTTAAAAAGTTCTATGTGTGAAACAAAATATTTTATTATCAATACCAATCTTGAACTATAAATCGCTTCTTTTTTCCTCTAACTTTGAACAATGATAGTATTTTTTTTTTTAGATAATAGTCCAACAAAAGTCCAAAACCCCAAACGGAGACGGATCCATTCAGAGCATAATGAAAATATTCCGACAAAAGTCCAAAATTCCAAACGGAGACGGATCCAGTTAGATCATAATGATAAAAGTCGGACAAAAGTCCAAAACTCTAAACGGAGATGGATCCAGTCAGAGCATGATGATCAAAGAACAGATAGTAGAGAAACGCAGTCAGCTAGAGAACGTAAACATCATCGTACGGATGTAGGTGAATCAAATGATAAAGAGGCAAAACATCAGGGTGTCAAAACGAAAAAGCCATTGAAAAGAAAAACCGTGAAGAAATCGGAAGAAGATGCCCATCTTGATGTAGGATTTCAAACGAAGAAGGTTCAGAGAGTGCTTCGATCGTCAATTAAACACACCAAAGAGAGGAAGGAAAAAGTAAATAAGCACCCTAATTCTAAACTGAGGCTACAATTGAAGAAAAACGGAGACAAGAAAGAAGAACTTCAAGGTAGAATTCTGCCCGAAAAATTTAAAAACCAGGGTACACAGAAAAAAACCACAAAACCACGAGTAAGATGTTCGGCCTTTAATAGAAAACCCATTCCAAAGAAGGAAAAACAATTAAGAGCAAACAAACGCCTGAATTCTAAAGCCGAGAGCTTTAAAAAGTCAAAAGCAAAGACGATCAATCAAATTTTGCCAAAGAATAAAGACATATTGGTTCAGGAAAAACAAAATACTGTACCAGACGAAACGTCTGCAAAAACTTTTTCCAGCTTGTTTTTAAAGAAAATAAAAGTAAAACTTCATCATACTTTAGACCACACATGGGCAAACATACACGGAATCAGTGTATCTGAAGATGATCTAGTATGGGTGAACCATTTGGTAAACACAGTACATCTTCAAAATACAACAGGAGAGGTGATAAGAACTTTTGAATTAGACTTCAGACCTGTATTCAATTGCTGCACACCCTCTGGTGACGTTTTTTTAACACAGGGATATGGTGCCAATGCCAAACCTACTATAAGCTTATTATCACGGGAAGGAGATATAAAAGTTGTGGCCGATCTTTCTTCGTACGCTTCAAATCTTTGTGGAATTTTATGCCAAGATGAAAGAATATACGTTGTTGCCTATTGTGCAGAAGATAAAAATTACTTTGTTATCAAACTGAATATAAATGGAGAAGTTGAAAACGTTTACCATACACAGAAGGCGTCAGATAACATAAATCAGATCATATCTCTAAATGGTCAAATAGCTGCCATTCGCACAAATTCAGACGGTTTGATGCCTTTGGAAGCCGATCGAATTTCCTCAGTAAAGATGAACAAAGTAAACATGACTTTGTATTCAGCGAGTGCATCAGTGGACAAGTTAGGGAATGTTATCATGGCATCAAACGCATCCCTCTTCATCATCAATCCAAGTCTGGAGTACATGCATGAGATAGATACTGGTACTTCTGAAGAAATCATCTCAACAGCTGTTGATCAACAAAATCAGTTGTGGTTCGGTACCAGATCTGGAAAGTTGTATTCTACAAAATACCTTAAATAATTAACAGCGTTCAGTTAATGTTTCAAAGAACTTATTGGAAAGTTAATTAAATCAAAGAATCGAAAATACAACAAGGAAAAACAGAAATATAGAAAAGGAACTTTTATTAATTTACTATTGCTGTATCATATATACATATAGTTGATATGAACTGTACACAATATATTGCGAGTCCACTACCAAATTAAAGTTACATCGACTCTTTTAATATAAATTAAGTCGTACCAAAATTTCGGGACCTAAAACCCCAAGGCCAAGCAAATGCAAAATATGAAGATACCCTACATGCATGTTCAACTTATGGATTGGGATGAGACTGATTGTATCAAGAAACTTTATTTACAAGTCTCAATGACTCTTGCTTGACAATCATCGCTGACTTTCTGTACATTTCCTTAACTATTTCTTGTTCAGCAGCGAGCTTAAATGATTTATTACAGTACCAACCAGACCCAACCTGACACAAAGCAGTCCCAGAGCGGTCCCGGGGACTGCTTTCTGGGACTGCTAAAGCAGTCCCAGAGTGGTCCCAGAGCAGTCCCACAGCGGTCCCAGCAGTCCCAGCGGTCCCAGAAAGCAGTCCCAGCAGTCCCAGACAGCAGTCCCAGCAGTCCCAGTGGGCGGGGTTAATTAGTTTAATGGGCGGAGCTTACTCAGAATGAGATTACCAATAAACAATGTAACTATATAAAAGGCAGTTGAAATTGATGAGCAATTCTTTCTGAGTAGTATCAACAAATATTTACAATTCTTACGCGACAGTCATTTCTGAACTGTTAAGAAAATCACAGTACGCGTATAGAAACAAATTATAATTATTGAATGAAGAAGACGTTCACACCTATTAATAACATGAATATTTAAACACAGTTATTTGGTATATTAATTTTTAACCAAAAAAAAATCTTTATTTTTTGTGATTGATATTGGTTTTCATATTTATTATTTTTTTTATATAGAAAATTAAACTTGAATTGTTTATTTTATACCAGAATTAGCTTTAAATAGATAATAATTATAGAGCAAGGCCGATTCTCATACTATACTCTGAATGCATTTTTATTAAGTATTGGAGCTTTTGAAAAATTCTTTGTTAAACATTGCCGAGTATTATATTTCAGTCATGATTATTTTCAATGACTTCCCAATTTAATTATCTTTAGATTCTCAGTTTTAAGTGTTTTATTATATAAATGTTCGAGTGTACATCTTTAAATCACGCAAATGGAACCCTCAGATTATGTTCAAAATTAATTAATCCCGAAATAAAGAACTAAGTACGTTACGTATTATTCGAAGGCCCACAATTTTTCGTATTTTGATATACAAGTTTGCAAAAATATAACTACTATGTACATGTAGAAGAAGATTGGTAGTTTTGATATATGCATAACAAAATTTCGCAAGTACGTTGATTAGAGGTATTCACAGGATTTAAACATCCGTTCTTTCCGGAAATTGCTATTTTTTCCCACTATTTTTACAACAAATTCCCAAAATTGAAGTAGTGCACACCCCTCGAGCAAAATAAAACATATATATTTGAAAATAATTTGATAAAAGACAAGCAAAAATAATGCTAAGAATTTGCTCGAGGAATGTGCAGTATGTTAATTTTGACATTTCATGACTATTTCCGGTGGCGGATACCAAGTTAGTCGAGAGGCGAGTTCTTATCTAGGAGCAATAATAATGGTGTATTTCGTGTAATAATGTTAAAGAAATAAATTTATCATTGATTGACCATATTTATATTGCTCATACAAATATATTTGTCATGAAAATAGCATAAAAACTAAAAAAATGTTTTATAGAAATGACAAATTACGATATTTTTTTAATAATAATGGTGCATTTCGTGTAATAATGTTACAAAATAAATTTATTATTGATTGACCATAGTTATATTGCTCATACAAATATATTTGTCATGAAAATAGCATAAAAACTAAAAAAAAAAATGTTTTATAGAAATGGCATATTATTTTATACAACTAAGCCTTACACTTGCTAAATGTTGCCAGCAAGAAGGGAAGAGATCAATTTAATATACTAAAGCAATAAAATATAAATGTTCAGCTGACAAATGAAATCACTAAAAGTATTATTGCAGAAAAGAAAATGCTTAAATCCTAGCCTTTATTTCTTCTTGCTACTGAAACGGTCTAGTTGACGACTGCATGTATGTAAATAAATTACGCAAGAAACTCAACGATGACGTCACAATAGGTCCCCTTGCAACACATTCTTTTTGGAAAGGGGGGGGGGAGATAAATTCCCAATCTTTTGGATGCTGTTGGTCAGGACTGATTAGATTAATTAATATTCTGAAGTCTTGTATTTTCAGTCATTTATACAAGTGCACGGTTGATGTTTCAATATATTTTTAGATTTTATAATACACGCACAATATAAGCGTGTTGCATCTGCATCTGTATATTGTAGACATTGCCGTTAATATTATGCAAAGCAATATAAAAAACAAAGGCTCATATTTCACCTAGTAAAAGAGCCACAGCGCATTTGATAGGTATTTTCGCCTACTCTACTGGTGATTCCTTAAATTCATTGTTTAACCAAAATTTTGTCATACAATCTTAGTTTATACATGCGTAAAACCATACCACACATTAATGATATTTCAATATTAATAGTTTCCTCATATGATAAATATGAAAATTATCCAGTTTGTATGGAGCATATAGTAAATATTGAGGTATCCACCTAAAGATGACAAACTGTTGTCAAAGACCACCCTTAACCAGGAAAACAAAAACAAAAAAAACTTTTGAAGGATTTTATTCGGATATGACTGCACTTCTAATTTTGGTTAAAAGGTGGTCTTCATATTGAAAATGATGAAAATATATATTCAATTTTTCTGCTCATATAATCGTAAGATTTAGCAATCTGTCTTAAATTTATTCATTCAACGTCATTGACTTCGTTGGCGCAATGGTATGATTGCTGGAATGTAAATATGGTGATAGCGAGTTCAAGTCCCACATTTTTTCCATTTATGCTTTCTTAAATTTGTTTTTCTTTGTGTATCTTTTCTACGTTTTTCTTTATTACGTTTTATGATATACATAAGTTCAGAAAGTTATAATATACACAATATACACTTTGAAAGTAGCTCGAAAAAAAACAGTCCTAAACTATTTTATTAAAGTTTGCAAATTCATAGCTACTTGTTTTATTTTTATTGATTTTATAAATCTTTTGTCTCAGAATTTGAGTACTGAACAAATTAAATGATTGTCAATTGACATACGTGCAACTACGAAAATATAACACTCGTCCTCAAATCATATTACATAGTTTGATCTTGAATTGAAAAGGTATATCTATATATAGAATCAGGTGATTTCCTTTTACATTCTTGAGTCAGCCGTGTCGTCTGAGAGGCAGCTATGGCTCTTTATTTTTTACCCGTATATTCTACTTGAGATCATTCCACATATACCAGAGTTGTAATTTCTTATCTGTCGAGGATCCAGTGAAGTTAAAAGAAGACTGGAATGAGAAAGCGACAGAAAGGTCCAAAAAGGAATTTCGGACCAAAAAAAAAATAATAAAAAAAAGCTGTATCGGATGATGGGTTCACTTTTCACAATGTTACCTGTATAGAAAATTCTTTCACCCCATTACGGCAGTGTAAGTGTATCACACAATATAAGTACTGTGGAACATAATTATTTGTCGGTGTGGACAAGTCTGAGTTATTTATCAGGCACGAAGAATCAGGGACGCAGGGCCCCTTCCCACTTTTTTCCGAATTTTAAAAATGTTCATTAAAAGACTAGCCCCCCCCCCCCCCCATCTATTTGCTGTAGCATAGGTAAAGTTTAGGAATTTAGTGTATTGGGGGGAAATTGGTTGTGGAAAAAAAAAATGAAAAAAAAGTTTGAACCTACCGTGACACGGGGCCTCGGTTTTTACGTCTCATCCGAAAGACCCGCAACTTTCACTTCAAAGTGCCGAGCGCTTGACGAAGGAACAGTTGCTACCTATTTTTTATCGACTTAGGTCGGTCGCAGCCGTGATTTGAACACACGACCTTCCGATCACGGCGCGAGAGCTCTACCTGAAATGGATTGAAAGTGCCTATATTCATTTTCTCCATAGGTTTGGTATCAAAGGCTCACAATACTTACTTAAAGATAGGCTCATATTGAGCAAAACTTCAAGCAACAAAGTCGAAACTTCAAGCAGCAGTAGTTATTTATAATTATATTTACGTATTTAAAAAAAAGATCGTAAAAGTGTTCTTCAAAAGAGTAAATGTTTATACATGTTTATTTTTATTATATTTATTTATTTATTTATTTTTTAATTTATTCATTTTTTTTTTTTGAGAAGCTATACTAAGTTGGTGAAAGTTGCTAAAGAAAATTCGATAGAAGGTTGCCGATGCCAACTATCCAAGAGAAGTGCTACAGCTTGTTGGGGGGGGGGGGATACTTGATTCGTGCATTTGAACAGAACCATCTGGAGACATATAAAATTATTAATCGAATGACAGTACTTTTTCAGTTTTTTTTTTTGAAACTTTTTCAGATGACAAGACAGAAACGTTTTAAACACACTTTGCTTAGATAAATTCGTGAATGGCGTCGCGAGAATGGGCTGGGGAATTGCCCTTTCAATGTTATCTATTAATTAAAATTTCAAATACATTTTGAAAATATCTTTAATGCTTTCTCATAAAATTTTATAGGGAATCTGACATTTATAAAATAGTGTTAAAAGTTTTAATGCAATCTTAAAAACAAACCAAGTAATTCGCATAAAAAATAGTCTAGCTTTTAAAAATCAAACTCTTGCTTGAATTAGAATAATCGGATACTTATAATAAACGTACTATTAAATATACGTTACGCATTTCTCTCTCACTCTGCCCCCCCCCTCTCTCTCTCGTTTTAAAATCATATAAATTAATCTTTTATTTGTACGTATATTGTCGGACCCAAAAACCAAACTGTTTGTCTCACTCTGGGGCCTTTATTTAACCATTCGATGGGTCAACAAAACGCATTTTGCCCGAGAACCTAGTCAATAAATGTTTTGTTATACCTTTGTATCTTGTGCAGGCTTCCATGATGTAAATTTACTTAAATTACACTGCGGTTAAAATTGGTCAATTTCGTCACTGTCGAACACCAACGATTGCAAATGAAATTTAACTGATCCCGCCCACAATTTTAACGTAAGCGGTCCAATTTCTCATCGACAGGTCAAATATCTTACTCCGCGGCCAAACATCGATTTTTTTTATGACCTCTCAGTACAACATTAGGAATGCGTATAAATTTATATAGAAACCAATTTTAAAGGTATATATAACAAAATTTTGTGTTGTACTCTGGAAATCTTCAGAATAAACTCTGAAATATTGTAGGAAGCAAATGTCAAAAGCGATTTGTGCATATGTGTATAAATGATAGAGGCTGTATTCGAATGATTAAAATTCTGTATCAGACAAGGGCGGTCTGTGAGAAAATGGATTATCTGTAAATATCTGAACAGAAACTTTGAGTTGCTAAAGTCATGGAAAGAGAGAGGCGCTTCACAATTGCTGATCTTGTAAATGCACAGTTACGCGGTAAAATAAAAAAGAAATAAAACATGGACAAACAAAATTAAATTATACGATTGTTAGCAATATAAAATAAAATTGATGGAGAAACGTTTTTAATAAGTGGCTATTGGACCAAACTGAGTGAAATGTAAAGGGAGATTTTTTTTTTTTTTGAAAACACCATGGCGCAATGTTTTTTGACGTTATAATGTAGCTCCAGGGATACCAAACATGCTGATTTTAAAAATTAAGTAAATTGATTTCAGTTAAATCGAATGGAATGAAACTTCAAATAAATATTTTATATGAGAAAATGTGATAGCGTTGTAGGAAAATTGAGTTGAGATAATTACAAAAATTAAACTGAATTAAAAAGATGACATCTTAGGCATGTTTCAAAAATATCTTCATCAGATTTGGGGACAGGGCCGATTTTGGTCCCTTAACGTACTTTCTTCTTTATACACAATTATTGAAACTAAGATTTTTTGCAGGACATACTAGATTGAAATTGGTGTCATTGTGGACCAGCGTGTTCAGTGATGTGTAACACTGATACCCAAATAACATGCATTGACTTTCTGCTTATTATGCCATTAATATTATTAACACCATATTGACACCATTTTATACAATCCCATTGTATTAACCGGCCAGGTAAACACAAACAAAAGAAATAAGAAACAAGTCACAATTCCCGATATTTTCAAATGTTTATTTTTTAAATAAATATACTCTTTTAATGACTAGTTTATAAATTAAAAACTAATTCATAAATAAATCCCCGAATAATTGTTCACATTGTTTATGTGGCAGAAGAATGGTAGAATAATTTTATTTCATGGTCATTAAATAAATTATTAGGTTTTATTTGAGGGTGGTAAAAATTAGCATGGAGTGCTCTTTTTTAAGCATGGTATTAGCTTTTTCAATTAAGAAAAAAAATCCAGTACAGTACATTCCTCTGAATACATGTATCTTACTGAAATGACAAGTTTGTTTGTTTTTTGTTTGTTTGTTTTTTTTTAAAGAGTGCTAATGCAAACTTTGAGTACATATGTAATTTGACAGCATTAATTTATTAAATAGGCCTAGATAATTTTTTTTTCAAACACCTGTATTGAAGTTTAATATGAGGGATAAAAATTATCCCCTGACTTCCCTTTTAAACTACTTTTATTTTCTTAAATTAATTCTAGACTACAATTGTGTAAATTTACAGACCTCTGAAGACATTTAGTAATTACATGTATAACTATCTCTTTTTATTTAATTTTTGTAAGAAATTAATATTTGGTTTTTTTTTTATATTTGCTTTTATCTTAAACACCTCTCTGCAGAAAGTACACAAAACAACAACAAGCAGCTGCAAATTCAGAATACACAAGGGGCGGAGCTATCATGTCACTCAGAACCTTTTTCACGCATGAGTGAACAAAGCAGTCCCAGAAAGCAGTCCCAGGGACTGCTGGGACTGCTGGGTCTGCTTTCTAGAGCAGTCCCACCGCAGTCCCACAGCTGTCCCAGAGCAGTCCCACAGCGGTCCCAAAGCAGTCCCGGGGACTGCTTTCTGGGACTGCTTTGGTGTCAGGTTGGGTCTGGTTGGTACTGTACCTCATAAATCTATCATTTTCTCAAATTTTCCCGCTGAAACAAAATATATTAAGACAAAGCACGAAACTGGAAGCAGATTACATGTATGTTAATAATTCATTTTTTTCTGTAATAAGGTTAATTGATATTATTTTCTGTATTCAATAAACATTTTTCTGATACGTCCTTGCAATAGTAAACACAAACTTTCTATCTACCATAAAGCACCCTAGCCTCAGACATTTTACTGTAATTTGTATATTTTCATAGGTGCATGTTGCAGAGTACATTTCATTATCTAATATCATTTCAAGGTATGGGTATATTAAACAAACATGAGAAAAAAATTCCAGTCTCAATTTGTTTAACTTAAGGAAAGAAGCCTTGCTTTTGGGTACAAGTGCACCTCGTGTGACTAAAATATATTTCTTTAATAAGTGCAGGTGAACCAATAAACATAATTTTGCCTTTCAACTTCAAAATTCATGTCTTTACCTTCGGATGGCTGTTAGAACAGCTATATATTACAGAAAAGGAAAATAGTACATAATGCCGAAAAATTTTGATTATTCAATTTTTATTCTTTTTTAAAAATCTGATAGCATAAGCTATCATTTATTAATTGATACATCTTTTATTCATACGTCTTGTGTTATGTATAGATATCGCTTGAAATTGTCTATGCTTTTTATAGGGGAAAACAAAATAAATGTAAATATTTTATACGTACAGTAAGATTTAAAATTTACGAAAACCCCATACAAACCAGTCTTAATACTAGTATCTAGTCTAAATAAAAATTTATTTGAGTGTGAGTATTTATAATAAAATTTCTATGATGAGAATTATCTTATTACCCCTTTATTATGAAGGTGAATAAAAAATAAAGAATTATATAAACAGTAAAGGTTTAATTTCTGCTTCAGTAAAGCTAAATCCTTAAAAATTAATCGTTTACCATCAATGAGTAAAAATCTTCCTTACGGATTCCGTTCATAATGTTGTGTTAGGGCGATGGTTTTACATGAAATTATGTGACTTGTTGGGCTCAAAATATATTAAAATTCTTTCTTATCCGTGTTTTATTCTATTGTTCAACATCATAAATACTGGATGAACGAAGTTAGCATGTTTCTGAATAATTTGGTGGTAGTTTTGATTTAAATAAATCACGTAAATTTTATTCACATGATTCTTTAAAAATCTCAATAATTCAGACTATAATATAAACAGTATACACGGCATATATAAGGCATTGAGGCATATATATATATATATATATATATATATATATATATATATATATATATATATATATATATATATATATATATATATATATATTCCATTTTTAAACTTAATTTTTTTTAAGGAGGGGGTGAATATCGTGAAAAAAAAATAGGTAAATAAAATTTAAAAATCCGCAATTTTCTAATGTATTGAGAGTTATCGTTCGTCTGCATTTCGAGTGGCGAAATCAAGTAATGATCAACCTGGATCACTGAACTTTAGACCTAGAAAGGACGAACAGGTGAGTTATCAGATTATATGACAGTGAAAAATGTACAGGGTAATCAATATTTTTTGTGTAGCATAACTCTAACTCTGAGGAATTTATATAATATCTGTAGATATAATCACTACAAGTGTTGTGTTCGACTGCACTTCCGCATGGCAGCTAGACCATACATCTATTTATATCACAGACGATTTAGTCTTTGAATATATGAATATGTGTGATACCTGATACATAGATATTCAAGGCACCGAATTTATGGGTTGATATATGTACTTTAACAAATCAAGCCATTCAAGGGCCCACGGCAGGACGTAGCATCGTTTTTGAAATTTGGGGGAGGACAGCACGGGCACTGGAAGTTAATGTAAATATTGAGTATGTGCATGTCTTTTTTTATACATGCACATACTCAATATTTACATTAACTTCCAGTGCCCGTGGAGGACAGAGAAAAAAATTGACAAGCACAAAAAGGGGGGACTGTCCAAGCTCGAAAATATTATTTCGTGGATGGGTGTGGTTAGATTCCAACTTCTTTCAGTACCAAATTTTATTAATTCACTACTACATTACCCTTACTTGACTATATTGCAACAAAAAGTTGGGGGGGAGGGCAACGGGTCTTTGAAATGAACATTTTCAGTAGTTAAAAGTTATGTTTGAGAAAAGGGGGGGGGGGGGGGCAGCCCGCCTCATGCCCCATGCTATGTGCCTGCACGGAGAGGCATGAAAGAGATACAGTTGTATATAGACAAAGATAAACGCAGTATTATGCATCTTGCTTCATTGATTTCATCTTGAGGATATTTTCCAACATTCTATCGCCCGCGTGGCGCAGTGGTTAGAGCGTCTGCCCTAGAGTCGCGGAGTAAGGAGTTGATCCTTACGTCGCGGGTTCGAATCCCACCGTGGGACGTGGAGACCGGTCCTTCGGATGAGACCGTATAAACCGAGGTCCCGTGTCGCAGTAGGTGCTGGCACGAAAAAGATCCCTCACTGCTCAATGGCCATAAGTGCCGAGTACAGGACAAAAATTTGCAGCTCTCCACCGGCAAGTGGTGGCGTCTCCATATGAGTGAAACATTCTCGAAAGGGACGTTAAACAACAAACAATCAATCAATCCAACATTCTAATTAATCACTACCTGTACTAGACTTAACTGGATTTATTGTTATAAATTTTGGATAACCAGGGGTCCAAACTATATAATAAACTAAGTATTTTTGATTTTCAAGAACACCAAAAATGAGAAACCGTCAAAGACAGACGACGAAAGGTAAAGCCAGAGAGGGTGCAGTTGTACACGACGAGGCAGAACCCCAGAGGTCAATCAAAGCCCGGAAGAGGAAATTTGAGGATGAACAAAATGATAAAGGCGAGTCACCAATCAACCAAATCATGTCTATATTGTCATCAAATTTTCTACACAATATACATCGTGTGGTATCCATTATGATTTTATTAACTTAATTTGAAAGAACAGTGTAATCTTTGCAACAATTTGTCTAATTAATGTGAGGATTTTGACATATATATTTATGTTAAAATGTAAAGACTATATCCTTCAACTAAACAATAAAAAAGCAACGTCAAACGCAAGGACAAAGTCAGTAACCCAGTTTTTTTTTCTTTTATGAGAAGTCTATTAGCATGCTAAAAAACCAAATCTAAACTTTTTATCGTTCAAGAAAATTGGTATCATGGTATGATTTTTAAATTAGGTCAAAAGTTCAAAACCCAGGGTATTGTCTAATACCTTTCATCGGACAGTTATCGAATAAAGGTCTCTAGTTTGTGGTTTCCTGTTGATTGGCGTTTCTCATGTTTACATTGCAACGTTTTATTAATTCATTTTATATTTTTTACATGACAAGGTGTGACACAGAAAATATTTAGATCATGAATGCATTATTAACACTTATGTTGAATGTTATACTTTCAGTCAACAACCCCACAAAAGATGTCTTTAAACGAAGACGAATCCATATAAGACAAAATGATCACGGTACGAAAAAGAAAGCATCATTATCGGTCAGTGGACGTAGAAGTCAGCCTATGGCAAAAAGAAACCCTAAAGGAAAACAGAAAAAAATACATAATGAAAACAAGAAAACATCACTGAAAAAATCGGAAGAAAATACCGCACATAATTTAGTATTTCAGACAAAGGAACCTAAAAGACTGACTCGATCTTCCATTAAAAATGTTGGCAACAGGGAAAAGGGGGGAGTAAACAAGGACTCGGATTCCAAATTGAGGCAACAAATAAAGAGAACTCGGAAGAGTAAAGAATGTTTTCCGAAAGAGACTGACAAATCAAGGGAAAATAAACAGCCAAAGACCTCAAATAAGACCTCAAATTTCCAAGGTAGAAGTCTTGCTTTTCGAAAATCTAATCAAAAGAAAGATATTCGCCAGAGTAGACAAGCCGAAAGCTGTAATAAGTCAAAAGCGTCAAAAGCAAGTAAAAATAAAATCAGTCTACAGAAAAAGGAAAGCATGAAGTTAGTGAAAAAAACACAGGATATTGAGGCATCGACAAGTCATTCATCTGAAAAAGATTTTACTGATTTATTTTTTAAGAAAATCGCAGTGCAACTTCATCCTATATCAGGCTCCTTGGGAGAGATACATGAAATCAGTGTATCTCATGATAATTTACTTTGGGTGAACTATTTGTACAATACTGTACATCTTCGAAACACAACAGGCGAGATTCTCAGATCTTTCAAATTAGATGCTAGAGCTGTATTCAGTTGTTGTACACCTGGAGGTGACCTTCTGTTGACACAGGGTTACGGTGGCAATTCTAGACCTGTCATAACTCTACTATCAAGAGAGGGAGATAACAAAGTTCTAGCCGATCTTTCTTCTTATGCTACTTATCTCTTTGGAATTTTGTATAAAGACGAAAGAGTATATGTTGTTGCAAATTGTGCAGAAAGTAGGAAGTACTTTATTGTCAAACTGGATATGAACGGAGAAGTTGAATCTGTATACAATACAAAAAATGCACATGATAGTATAAATCAGATCATTTTTCTAAATGGTCAGATAGTAGCCTTTCGCATTAATGATGTTGATATGATTCCTCTAGAGACTGGAGCAATTTCCTCTGTTGCTATGAACAAAGTGAATATACGGAACGCATACTCAGGAAGTGCATCTGCTGACAATCTTGGAAATGTAATCCTAGGTTCAAATGCACAGCTCTTCATCATCAACCCAAGTCTACAGCTCGTGCATAAACTAGATACTGGTATTTCTGGCCGTATCATTTCAACAGCTGTAGATCAGCAAAACCAGTTGTGGTTCGGTACCGCCGATGGAAAACTATTCTCAACCAAATATCTTAAATGATTCAATGCAAAACACTCCGGTGTTGTCAAAGAAATATGTTATTCTTGCGACTTCATTTTTTTTTTTTTGGACCGGGGGGGGGGGGGGTTAAAAAGAGACAAAAGTAAAGAACCAACCCGTCGTCTCAAGAAGATATTTCATTTACCTTTGGTATTTCGAAAACAGCTCAAGAACTGTAAACCTCATTTTAGACTTCAAAAGTCAAAAAAGTACACGCTTCGCTGAAGAATTTTGGATATTTTAACGAGCGGAGCAAAATCTCACGACATGAAATAAAGAAAAAAAAAACTGCCAATTTAGAAGAAATCTGAAAATTTGATTAAGTTCCAAAACAGGAAAAGTCAAACAAATGTTTCAAAATGTAAATGTCAAATCTAAAGAAAAGAACAATACTAAGCGATCACAAATTTATCAGACACCTTAAGTTCCAGTTATGATTCAGAAGCAAATAAATCAACAGATAAAATAGATAAATAAATGAGAACACGTTGAGAAAGTGGGTGCAAATTGGAACACAAAACTTCCTAATGCCAACAGTTGTTTTTAAAGAAACTTAGCAAGTTTACTTTCCATCCTATATCAGGTCTCATAGGTATCAATGTATCAAATAAAAAAATATATGAATCATCTAAAGAGATGGCATGAGTAAAAGCTAAATACTTCAAATCGTAAGAATAAATCAATTGATTCCTGGGTCAACCAAGAAGAAAATGTCAGGTTTCTACCCTATCATTTTCCCAGCATTCACCATCTGAAATAGAATTTTCTGCAAAAATAATTTTAAAAGGGCGCACACGAAAAAGCAGGTATCGTAGGGCAAAAGTCATGTGTTTTTCCTTTTTTCTTCAAATATCTTTAATCCGTCTAACAATATAAAAAATGCCGAGGATATGGATTTATTTGAAAGATGATGCTGTGTATATGGGGTTGCTAATACGAGTAAAATATTTCATATGTCTAACTCCTGTGCTGTTAATGTGTCAAACTGGAAATGCTTTCGTGACATCATGAACTCCTATCAGTTTGTCGTCAGTTGACAGTATTGAAAACGATAGTGCGTCAGTAACAACATTAGAAATGTTAATATTATTGTTGCATCACTAACTCCTGTACAGTTGATGCGTTAGTTGACAATTGTGAGATTTTATCCTGGTTTCAGTTGGTTCTTTACAGTAAATACCTCGGTTGACAATATTAGAAACACTAATCATGGCATCCGTACCACCTGTACAAAAAGTGTGACAGTTGACAATATTGGAAATGTTAATTATTGTGGCATTCTATATATACAAAAACTCAGTTTAGAGTTTTTCCCCCGTGAAATAGCGACTTATTTGAACATATCGTTTCAACCACTATTGATAATCCATTGAGGTTAGTTGCGGACTCTGGTGAGATTACTGAAACGGTTGTGTGTAGGGCTGCGCAATAATATCGATATTCCGGTATATTGCGATTCGTTAACAAAAAATATCGTAATTTCATAGAATTTTTATATGTACTTCACAAACTGTAGACCATCGTAATTTCATAGAATTTTTATATGTACTTCACAAACTGTATAGACAAATAAGGTTTGATAGTGTTCCGTTTTCTAGTTCTAGTAGCAACTGCAAAATTATTCTCTAATATAAGTTTGGTTGATTTTACATGTATTTTGTTTATATTTTAAATAAAAGTATGTTTTAAATCACAAATCTTTCATTAATTGAAAAAAAATTCTTTGCAAGAAACTCAGTTCTATAATTTTGAAAGTACAATTAAAATTTTTTTTAAATTACATTAGATAATAAAAAATTCCAGCTGCAAGCTGAAGCTGTATGTGGTCTTTTAGAATATAAATATACGCGAGAATGAAATTTTCGATAATTGCTAGTTTTAATCGTATTTATTGGCAGATGATGGAATTCCTGTACCATGTCAATCTGTTAACATTAAGAGTTCCTTACTGCATGCAGAATTTAAGGTTTGAAACAAATTGTCCATGAAATAATAGAGAGTAATTTATAAACAAGAAATAAACCCAAATTTTTGTGGTGGAGCAGCACGAATGTTAAGGTAACGTTGTCTATTCAATATATGAAGATTCTGCAACACAATATATATTTAATAAACTGAATATTACATTATATAGCAACAGGTTGTCATATACTTTGGAAGAGACTGGCGATGACAAGGTATATGAGGAGGCGCAATGTGATACCCACAGAATAAAGGGGTAAACATGGGATAAAATAAATTAGCAATTGAATACTTTGGAATAGACCTTGAATTAGACTGGCGATGGTATATGCAAGGTATATGACGAGGCGCATTGTCAGTCTTAAGATACTATGTTCACCAGTTTACCAAAAGGAGTACCAGTTTAATAGACCAGTATATGTACAGTGGGATGAACACTTCTGAAGTTAGTTGCTTTGTGATCGACTGAGCATATAGGTAAGGTTCAAAATTTAATGTACATTGTTTGAGGAAGCTCTAAACACTGGTCACTGAAGAATTCTAATCCATGGTCACTTTATGACTATAAAATACTTTATGCAGTTAGAGTGATCTGCCCTTTTACCCGAAAATTCCATCTTCGCAAGCCAAGGGTTTGTGGGGAGCGTACTGGACCCAAAACTCTTTGACTGAAGATGAAATCTACAGTAAAGATATGGTAAATGGCAAAATTAAAATAGACTAAAGTATTCTTAACATTATATTAGACCAAGATAACGAGATTGAAAACATTATTTGCATGTACTTTCCCCAGTGTTTTCTGTTCACAAATATTCATCATCCTTGAGCAGGTACCCGAACTAGACAAACCCCGTATACACCTTTATATGACACAATTCAATTAGTGTTTAGAGCTTCCTTAATGTTTTTGATTTAGAACATATTCCTTTGAAACCAGCATTATAAACATTTATCGAAGAGCCAAAGTTACCTACGTCCGCTGCATCTGGTTTTATACTATTCACGTTTAAGTTTCTTATATTTTACAGGACCACAAATATATTGCCGGTATTTTATAGTCTTAATTCATTCTACCTAGCTCATGTTTTTAGATGATAATTTTGATATTTTGTCTTTAAAAATGATAAAATATTATAAAATTATAACTTTTTTAGATTGAATAAAAATTTCATAGCTACTGTAGATTTTTTTTTCTATGTTCACCGAGACACACATAAAAAATAAAGATAAAAATAGGTTCATGCGTCACCACGTGATCATACCATAGATTGCAGTTCTTTAACTGAATTTCTATTGAGGCCTGGGTCCACAGTTGCTTCTTGAAGTGACCAAAGTCATCATGAGGACATAGCAACAACTGACAGAGTTATCTTTTCAGGTATACAGGATCCATGATAATATCATGTTGTAAATTTTGAATTTACTAGGGGGAGGTAAATACAAAATTTACAACATGATAACTGTAAATTTTGTATTTACCTCCCACTAGTAAATTCAAAATTTACAACATGATAATAATATCATAGGGGAATGTCTAAGATACTTCCCAGACTCGGATGTCAGATGATTCCAAATGAGTTTTGTGGGCCTCATCCATTTAAGACTAAGCACTAGTTCCTACTCTTGCTTTTTAACCCTCTACTAACTCATTACTTCTTGGTATAACTCCAAATCTCCCACATTCTTACACATCCCACTCTGAATTTGACTTTCAGCAATTCGAAAATCCAGGTCAAGCAACATCCAGTCCTGAAAGGTGGCATTGTACAGAATCAAAGGTGTGTCTTACTACAATAAAGTTAGGCCGGTCCAGCTATAAATTTCTCTGAAGTCAAGATTTCGCCAGGGTGACATGCATTTCTTAGCAGTTTTCTCTCGCTTCTGCTCCTATGATAACCATCACATCAAAAAATCACTCCATGCAGTTCATTCTACACCATGATAAATGAAGTAGTTTGAGCAACTTCTTTTCTAAACCTTTAAATTATAGACAGGTAAACACTACCAATTCTGGTTCAGTCGAGTTCAAATCACCTCTGAGATATCAAGATTATGATTGGAGTTCTTTGCCTTCACCTCCTTTCAAAAGCACAACTCCAGCTATGTCAACCAAGTGCTTTTATTAGATCTCTTAGCTTTAGGCGTCTACACATTACATAATAGCTTCCTCCTAATCCCCTGATTCCTGACTTGTAGCTTGCCCTCGTAAGTGGGCTACACGGAGTCAAGCCTTCTCAACAAAGAGAAACCATTAAGGGTCAACATAGGCATGTCTGCGGACGGACATCTCTCTTACAGGTTCCCTAGAAGAACAGTTTAATTGATTGATTGATTGTATGTTGTTTTACGTCCCGTTCGAGAATTTTTCACTCATATAGAGACGTCACCATATACCGTTGAAGGGATTCTAATTTAGACCTTTACTCGGCACTAAGGGCTATTGCGCAGTGAGGGTTCTTTATCGTGCCAACGCCTACCGTGACATGGGGCCTCGGTTTTGAAGGTCTCATCCAAAGGACCCGCAACTTTCACTTCAAAGTGCCGAGCGCATGGCGAAGGAACAGTTGCTACCTATTTTTTATCGACTTAGGTCATTCGCAGCCGTGATTCGATCATGGAGCGAGCGCTTTACCGACTGAGCTACCGTGACGGTAAGAAAAGTTTAATTTTCTGTCCAGTTCCACCTAAATTCAGCTTTTAAGCTGTACATTTGGTCATTTTTTTTATGTTCCACACCTGATAACACTTGTAGACACACTCGGCTTCCTTGTGGGTTCGTCTGATAAAAAAAACAAATTTGTCCATGCACACATCTGCTGGTGTGGGGATGCATTATATCCTCCAATAGGCATCTCCTAACTTTCAATTCTGCTCCGATATGAGCATGTAGCTCTTCCAAGTCCTCCCATCCCTAGATCATCTTCCAGATTTTCATCTCAACATTATAACTTTACTTATATCCAGCATACCTATCGTACTTGGAGTGCTGACTGCAATGCACATTTCTGATGCTTTCTCGACTGTCTTACTTTGATCTACAAAGGCAAACATGCTGGCTTATCTTGGTCTTCAGCTCCAATACACAAACTAAAACAAGCCATATGAGATGTAAACGGTCGAAGTTTAATTCATCCAATGAACCTATTCAATGAATTAGGGGGTAGGTAGACTTCCTACCAATTTTAGCGATGTCTATTAATCGGTGTTGTCACTACCACTGATTAGATGCACTGACCCAAAGGGACTACATGGATCAAATTCCATAGGCTCAATGAGGTTAAATGATAACGCACAGAGCTGAAAAATGCATGAAGGATACATGGAAACTAGTGATGATAATAATTTAAACTTCGGTGACATACTGGATTTTATACCAGGTGAACTAAATACCAATATGAACCAAATACCAATATTCCTTTTTCCTTTACTGACAAATAAGTTTATGTTACAATGGAATCAACAATCTCGTTCAAAGTCAATTCTATGGCCGATACAATGACCTCATTTGCAAAAACAACCTGTCGTTAGGTCAAATGTACATGTAGTCAGGTATTTTCAATAAACATTGTCAAGCTATCACTAGATTTCCTTACTGAATTGAATACAAATTACACGTGCTCTGTTTCCCCGATCAAAGGAAAGGGCTCACACCTGGTCGACAGAAGGTGATTACTTCTCAATAGCACCTTGCCCCACCTCTGATGTTTTCATGGGTCCGTGTTTGGTTTTCTCTCAGTTTTATATGTTTATTTGGACTTTTGAACATACTGTTCGTTATCTTCATATTTTACTTGTACAAATAAAACTTTGATACGAGAAATCCTAATACATAGCACTGATAGAACTTTCAGTTATACTTAATTTGGTACTCACAGTCACTGGAGTTGGAGATGAATCAGACAGAAAATGGAGTTAAAAATTTTAAATGAAGAAACTGGTTCATCCCTAAAACAATTTATACACCCTCTCCAGATCTGCGGGTAACATGAACACTGGTGATGCACTCCTTCATACATGTCACCATCCAGATCTAGGACAAATAAAACGTTAAATAATAACCAAATTGAGAAGCAAAAGATAACTGCAAATTGATGAAAGAAAAAAATAAAGTTGAAATCTCACAGCTTGAAAATCTCGTCTTTATGTTTATGTTGTAAATGAAAGAAAACCAGCACTTACTTTGAAGTTCCGACACGTGACAGGCCTGAAAGCAATCTCCTATGTCTGAAATATCTGACGCTTTCAAGATTTTTTTCTCACGATTTTGATATTTGACGTTTCCTGGCGCAAAAGTCTGAAAAATGTCCGATATTCGAACTAGAATCTCCCCTGCATGGTGACTGTTACTTCGAGTTACTGTTCGATGTCATTGTAATCTTTACTCAGTATGACTGATACACATACAAGCATCACAAAATCTCTGATACACCCATAGGATAGATCATCCAGCCAAGATCATTGGAGATGAAGGGTCTAGTGCAATGGTTGCGCTCAGTAACATTTCTTCACTTAGCAAGTTGTACGAGGAAAATGTCCAACATAATACATTTTACGCGGTTTATTGTTTAATATCAATCAGATAATTAGCCTCTCCATTTTTTTTTCCGGAATGGAGAGTAGAAAATCAAATGGAATACAGCTTTCATATGTTCAGATTCTCTCTCTCGTACATCTAGGTGCTAACTTAGAAAGTGAAATTGACCGTATTGTATTTTCAATGTATTTTTCTGAAGTTGCTTTCTGTGCAGAGACCGCTCGCTACAACATCATTTTCGACTGAAAATCGTAGAAAAACACAAAACAAATACAATAAATTGTTGTGAAAATATAACCAAAATAAATTAATTCAGAGGTTTGTTTTCGTGATTTTCTTCTGAAATTTTGATCTTCTTACCAATGTTCATCGTACTTGTTGATCAATTAAAGCAGTATTTAGTTCAGAGAATTTTAAATGAAGTTCTTTCCTAAAGAAATTTAGATTTCTATCACCAAGACTCATAAATATTATAGTGAAGGGGCGGATCAATTGATATTTTCTTTTATACATTTGGCCTTTTTCTTCCAAAAATTTAGTGAAAAATGCAACGTAATTTCATAGAAAATTTCCAAAGGGCGAAGCTACTGAGTAGAAGTATGCATAACATGAATAAAATTGTCTTTGACCAAGATATGGGATTTGCTTACATTTTTTATGGAAGCCAAATGGTTGTATAAATTTTCGTTGTATAGAATCTCCTACAGTTATTTCCCGTCAATGCTGATGATAGTATTTATTAACAGAAAATTTATAAGCTTCGTGACCTCTGATTTTCATGCCCCCGTAATCGAAGATTCGGGGGCATATAGTTTTTGCCCTGTCCGTCCGCCTGTCTGTCTAGCTGTTTGTCTGTTTGTCCGCAAAAATGTTAACCTTGCCCATAACTTTTGATTGGTTGGAACTATGGATTTCATATTTCACATGTATATTCCTTGTGACAAGACCTTTCTTTGGGTACCCTCATATTTGACCTTGACCCAGGAGTTTTGACCTTGGAGTTTGACCCAGTTTTGCAAAATTTTACTTAACATTAACCTTGGTCATAACTTTTGAACAGTTGGTGCTGGTGCTTTCATACTTCACATGTGTATTCCTTGTGATAAGATCTTCCTTTGGATAGCAACAACTTTGACCCTTTGACCTTGACCTTGGAGTTTGACATACATTTGAAAAAAATTTAACCTTGGCCAAAACTTTTGAACAGTTGGAGGCAGGGCTTTCATACTTCACATGTGTATTCCTTGTGACAAGACCTTTCATGGATACCAACATCATATTTGACCTTTTGACCTTGACCCAGGAGTTTTGACCTTGGAGTTTGACCCACTTATGTAAAATTTTGTGAAACTTTAACCTTATCCATTACTTTTGAACAGTGGGTGCTTGGGCTTTCAAACTTCACATTTGTATTTTTTGTGATAAGACCTTCCTTTGGATACCAGCAACTTTGACCCTTTGACCTCGACCCTGGAGTTTGACTTACTTTTGAAAAACTTTAACCTTGACCATAACTTTAAAACAGTTGGTGCTAGAGCTTTCATACTTCACACATGCATTCCTTGTGATAAGACCTTCCTTTAGATACCAACAACTTTGACCCTTTGACCTTGACCTTGAAATTTGACCTACTTTTAAAAAACTTTAACCTTGGCCATAACATTTGAACGTTTGGCTCTGGGGCTTTCACATTTCAAGAACATGTGTATCACTTTTTACAAGACTTTCCATTGGGCACCATTTAACCTTGACCATGACGTTTTACTTAAAATCTTTAACCTTCGCCATAGCTTTTCTATGGTTGGTGCTAGGGCTTTCATATTTCACAGGTATATTCCTTGAAATAAGACCTTTCTTTGGGTACCAACATTTTTATCTCTTGACCTGTACTTTGGCTTCCATTTGAGAAACCTTAACCTTCGCCATAAGCTGCTATACGGGGGCATCAGTGTTTCACAAACACATCTTATTTTTAAAAATTTGCAATAAATCAAAGATATCATTGTCATGGGTCGAAAATACAATACGCTAGGATAGTACTGAGTACTATTATTTCTTTGCGTTTATAGAGTACTGTAAATTTACGCATTACAGAAAGACCAGAAATGAAAAGACATCAAAGACAAACCAGAGCTTCTACAAGAATAATTGCTGAAGAGAATAAAGTAACAAAGAGTTCGGGGTTTCTCAACCCCCGGAAAAGGAAAAGTGAGGATAAACAAAATGGTGAGTGATAGTAAGAAATTAATGTGAAATAATTATCAATGATGATGTCAATATCATCAGACAGAGTTAATTGACAAGGAGGATTCATTATTAATTGATAAATGCTTTAAATAGCTTCCTAGTAATTATTTCCACTTGGGCCATTCCAAGTTTTTTTTCTATGTTTAGCGTCCGCAGACGGATTGGTTTTAAGGTTATGAATTTAAAAACAAACACACACTAAAAATGAAAATATTTGCAACACAATTTACTCTTTTGAGATCGGCATTGCATTTTTTTTAAAAGTTGTATATACCAAAAAAAATTAATTTTAATAAACTATTAGTTTATCGTTGTGAGAATGCGAGGAAAATTCCAAGATGATGATGAGATATTCTACAATTATCCTTATAAAGTTGTGTTTTTTCCCTTTCGGTTTGTGTGTTTTCCCGGATAGAAAGATAGGTTTTTGATTTTAGGATGGACACTAAACATAGAAAAAACTTGGAATGGCCTTAAGTTAGTGTAGGTAGTTCTGCAACAAATAAAACGAAAAACGGACGCTCAGTAAATCCACCATATACCATACCAAGATATATATATATAATGTATAATATAAAGTAATTGAAGTATCCAGAGAAAACTTCGATCATATTTCTTCAGGAAAATTATATATAAATTTTGATGTATTATTGATCGTAGAAAATACTTTCAGATAAAAGCTCATCGAAGGGGGACTCCTCCAAACGAAGACGTATTCATTTTCAGCGTGATGACAGAAGTATGGGTAGGCAGGCAACTGCATCAGCGAGTGAACTTGAAAAGCGAGTAAGCAAGTCCAAACGAAAGGAGCCAAGATTCCCAGCGGCAGAAACAAAGAGAGTGACTCGGTTGTCTTATAAAAAGGCTGAAAATAGCAAGGGAAAAGTAGAGAGAGACTTAAAATCCAACTCAAAACAACAAATGAAAGAATTAAAAGCTGGGAAAGGGGGAAAAGTAGAAAAATTAAGGAACCAAAGGAAGAAGCCAGAGATATCGAAATCTCAAATAAAAGATTTACCAGCAAGCTCACAACAGCAAACTTCAGTCCCCAGAAAACCGGAACAGTCGCAATCTGGAAGCCGAAAAGAATTCAAAAAATCGAATTCAAGTACCGATACTGTAAATAGAAAGTCTTATCGAAAGAAGAAAGCAACATTAAAATCAAATACTTGTCAGAATACTAAAAATGAGAGTCGAAAATTTGCAAAGGCAACCAAACGGAGCTTAACTGAAGGTCAAAAATTGGCGAAGAATGTCAAAAATTCTCAAGTTGTGAAAGATTACATGTCTGCACCAGAAGCATTCTCCGACTTGTTTTTACCAAAACTGGATATGAAATTTAATCTCAGAGCAGGTCTTCAGAACATTCATGGAATCAGTGTATCAAATGACAATGTTATATGCGTGAATTACATGCCAAATCAAGTAAAACTACTCAGTTCTTCAGGTGAAGTACTGAGGTGCGTCGAATTAAACTCCAGTCCAGTACTTAATTGTTGCTTGCCATCAGGAGACCTTCTCGTGACGCAGGGTTTCGCTGGTGGTTCTAAGCCTATAATCACCTCAATATCACGGGAAGGAGACATTAAGGTTTTAGCTGATCTTAGATCGTATGCTTCGAACCTATTAGGAATTATCTGCAAAGATGAGAGAATATATGTCATCGGATCCAGAAAATCTCGTCGTGATCACATTGTTCTTAGACTTAATTTGACTGGAGAAGTAGAGCATGTCTACAATTCAAAGCTGTCCTCTGAAGATATAAATCGTTTAATTTCTCTCAATGGACAAATAGTTGGCCTTCGAATCAAAAACTCTCAAATGGTTGCAATAGAAGAGGATGGAATTTCCTCCGTTGTATTAAACAAATTTTTTAGCAGCAGCATGTATGCAGCAAGTGCATCAGTGGACAATCTTGGAAACGTTGTTATAGGTGCGGGTACAAAACTCATCTTCATGAACCCAAGTTTGGAATTAAAGCATGAAGTTAACACTGACATTTCTGGAAACATCACAGCAACAGCTATAGATGGGCATGATCAACTGTGGATTGGTACTGTAAATGGAGAGTTGTTCGCTGCTAAATATCTTAATGTCTGAAAATTTCCCCTTTAATTCACTGTATCTATATTGAATTATTTTGAATACAAGATGCAAGACATGGAGTTTCACTCGGTTGTCCGAACAAATATCGGCTAATTTTTTCCAACCCGATTAAGCTCACCTTCGCTTACCAAGGGTTTCCGACCAAGTAGAGTAGATTTCAGATCGGAAACCCTTGGCAAGCGAAGATGGATTAATTAAGCTTTGTACGAAAAGAACATTTGGAGATACCAAAAAAAAACGTGTAAAAGCAATTGACATGAATTTCATAGTAGTGTTTAGTAGAGCTGGGACGATATATCGATAATATCGATTCTGTGTGAGGATGATACGCATATCGATACATACATGGATGTAGAAATATCGCAAAAAATTCTGACTTACACTTTCCTTGTTTGCGTAACATTTTGGGTTTAATATATAAAATAAATATGCTAAGTATACATATAAATATGAATTACATAATAATGAACACCACTTTTGTGAAATAATTTTGTTTTACAACAGATATAAAGCTTTTGTGAATAAATTATTCTTTCTTGCAAAGGAATGATTATGTTTTGTCCATTTCAATACATGAAGATTTTATACCTAATTCAAGATATCGTGATACATATTGCATCGTGGCTAAAATATGGTGATACATATAGATGTAGAAAAAGTTGAATCGTCCAACTCCTAGTGTGTTTAGTTCGAATGATAATAAAAACGAACACATTCCAGTCCTCAATATATTAATGAAGTAGCCTAGAAAGTTGGGTGCAAGAAAAAATATTAGAAAAATGCTGTACATGTACAACAGGGCATGGTCTATGGTCTTGAGCCTGTGTGCATGTATTATGTTATTCTGGGCTCCTTGATGACTGTAAATGTAAACACAAGCTAGGTATATGTATCTCTGGAAAATGTTTTCAAGAAGTATAAATATAAATTTTCTGTTCCATCCCAAACTACCAGTTTATCTTGTCCTTGGGTCAAGTATTTTCATGCAATGTCATGTTTGAATTTGAGCCATATTTTTATATTGAATTTTGACTATCACTTTCCCACAAGCTTTTTATCATTATTTCAGGCCACATTAATGAAACATGAAGATAATACAATGAAGACTATCACTTTCCCAAAAGCTTTTTATCATAATTTCAGGCCACATTAAAGAAACATGAAGATAATACAATGCAGATTTTGTTCATTATTGTAAAATAGAAGAGAATTCAACTTTCCATTACAATGAATTGCTGGCAAAGTGAAATAAGGGAGGGAGCTTCTTTTGAAAGTTTGAAAGAGCAAAAGAATATTATTTAAATACGCAAATGTACACCAATTTAGAACCTAGTGAATTCTCATAGAATACAATTGTCTAAACTGGGAGACACATTTAGTCAGCTGGGTCATCCTACTTTCAAGTCTGTGACCGTCTTCATGTTCACCTTGACGAAATGGCTTTCTTTTGCTTGTCTAAGGTCTTTGTCATCAAGCTGGAAGAAAATTGATTTGTACATTGTACACTTAATTTAGTTCCTAGTAAATGCTTTTAGAGTAGTAAGATTTTTTGCTGGGAGACCCATCTAGTTAGCTAAGCCACCCTACTTTCAATTTTGTAACTACTGTATACAGTGAAAATTTCACCCTTTTCATCTTCTTTATCTGTTAAGCACTACTGTGTCAGGGAGAATTTAAAATGGGGCAAAATTGTTTGCAAATGTGAAAATAACAAGGGGCAAAAATAACTCTGTCTTTGTTTTGTGGATAACAATTTTTCACATCTATATACCAGTTGCAACTTCTCAGGGTTTCAAACAAGCAAGAAAAAAAAACCTTTAATGTGTTAAGTAGATGTCCATGACAACCCCCTTTTCATAAACATTGAAATAAATGTAGGGAGACCTCTTATCTGTAGAATATGGAGCTTAACTTCAACGAATGTAAAGAAATTACCTAAAATATACCACAGAAGAGACAATCAACTCTTCCTAATTAATATTTTAATAAATTAGGAAGTGACTCCATTTTGTATAAAACAACATCTGGTAATGTAAATACATTTGAGGTGTTTTTCTGAGCTTGTTGAAAAAACCCGAAAAAAGGCAATTGATTGATGTACAAGAGAGGGTTACATTGCCTCCTTTCTTTCTATTCCTGGTTAGGGAGCCTCTTTAAGATGAATGCAAGTCTGCAGCACAATTGATCAAATGTCGAAATAGATCATAGTTAAAAAAATAATAAAAATTTTAAAAATGTATAAACTTATGTATATTTATTCCAGCAAAAATTTTTCAGTCAATCCTCAAGGACATAGGTAAACCAATCAAGAAGAGGTAGAAATAAAGGTTCAATTTTGTCTCTTCATGAATTTTAAAAATAATATAATAATTAATTGTACAAAAAAGAACTTATTCATAATTTTTGTGTTCCCTCTCACAAACAAAACTACACATACAGATAAATGTCAAAGCAAATGTCAAGTTACAAATACATAATGAAATGGCACTTGATATTTGTACAACTGTAAACATTAAAGAAAATACATGTATATAAAATCTGCAAAAAATATGCTGATGAATTCACATTACACAAACAACAAGATACATTTTAACAATGCAAATATTGCATCATTCACAACCCTCAAAAAAATAATTCAGGAATGTTAAAGAAATGTAAATGTCATAAAATTAATCAATAAAGTTTAAATCATACATAAATAACAAGTTAATCCTAGTAAAAAAAAAATGGAATGATTCACTGAAAATGATATGTACAGGAGAATGTTAACAGGTTTCACAAAAACAGGTAAATATTGCCTTTTATCTAATATACAAGTGATATATTCATTGAGCATTGCATAATTGAATGAATAAAAATTAGTTACTAAAATAGTACAGGTATATGAAAATATAAAATCAATATTTTTAAGAATCATAAAAGGAATAAAAAATTTGATTTAAATGATCTTATATCTAATTAATTCCTTCAGGTTTTATATGTTCTGTGTCTTTGGTAAATGGGCCCCCTTTACAGGGCCATTCTTTATCAGTAGTCTTTGGGTCTATTTCTATAGTTTACAATACACAGGGCTATTATAATGATGACCAGCAGTGATGATAAGGCTGTAAGAGACCAGGTAGATACCTGAAAATTCTCACTGGTGTCTTTTAATGGTGCTGTAGTGACAATTGCTGCAATACATAAACATTATTATTGCCATAAACTTTTGTATTTGGAGTGCAAATAAGAATTCTGAATGTTCTAACCCAGTTATGTCACATCTAAGCAAATCGACCTTTTCATTCACCATACCTTTTTGTTTAATTACCAGATTAAGTTGCTCTACTTATTTTAAAATTATTATTTTCCCCTGTCTTTTAAAAATGATTTTCAAATGTTCAAATGTTAATCTTCAAATGTTCTGAAAATTGACAAAAGTTCTGTACCAGTCCTTTATTTTTACATTCGGTGAATAATAAAGAACTTCATATAAGACTTACTTTGAGGGCGCGAGGCCAGCTGTGGGAAATAAGTAGACCAGAATCCGTAGTCCTTCTGTCTGAAGTTTGTGTAGTTGTAGGAAGAGTTGCTGATGTAAAAATAGCTGTGGTTGTAAATATTATGCTGTCCCCAAGTCACATTCTTAAAATTAATCATAGAAAATCGCCTGGGGGTAGGATCACTGTAAGAGGGAATAGTAACTTCTTTATAATCTTACAATTTAAAAAAAAAAAACATTCACTATGCTATGGGAAGAGAATATCTTAGTCCTCTGGCAATAAAAGTTAGATTAGGAATTCTCATATGCTGACTGACAGTAAAGATACTGTTATATGTAGGTTTAATAAAACAAAAGAAAATAATGTTCCTAATAATGATGGTTCAAATCCCTTTTTACTAGCAGTTTTATTCCGCCCTTTTTGTCAATGCTGCATCAACTTACCAAAATAATGGAGACCTTAATTTTGAGGTACATTTTAAGTGTGGTAAGCATACATTTATCACACAACTAATTGCTTCATTTCTGTTAGTTTTATAATTATCGTTACTGACCCGTAAGATGAGAAGTTTGTCCACAGACTCATCATGTATTCACTCATATTCCTGTCCGCATAGTCATACTGCTGCCGAGGATAAAGCCCCAGCAGGTTTGTGTAAGTCTGGTTTATGAAGGGGAAACCAAAGATATACTGAAGTTCTTGTCCATGTGCAACACCTACATTGATAAAATAAAGAAGTATTTAAGTTATTATAAAGTTATTACATGTATAGTTATTATAAATTGTCTGGTTAAAAATAGCCCATCTTTTTTTTAGTCTAGAAATGAGGACTAGCTGCAACTGAATGTTTGGCAGATTTTAATAGATTAAACAAGCTGTAGTGGTCAGACAGGTTAGATCACCAGTGGCCAGATAGCTTAGTTGGTATAACACCAAACTATAGATTCAGGGGGCCCAGGATCAAATCCTGGTCTGGTCCATTACATTTTCTCCTGTCCTGTAACATTTGGTGCCATGACATACCCTAGAATGACAGGAGAAAGACCTTCAAGGGAAGAGCCTGGGTGGTCTCTTTGATGGTGAAGACCTTGAAGGAAGGTGGAATGTGGCAGACAGACAGGTTCGATCGATGGTGGCTTGATAGCTCAGTTGGTAGAGCACCTGACTAGAGTTTCAAGGGGCCTGGGTTCCGATCCTGATCTGGTCCTCTTATGATGGGACATCAGTAAGAGGAAAAAGGTCAAATGGCATTAAAATTAGGCATCAACTTTCCCAAAGTTGTTCCTCAAGTTGCATGTACATCATCCTCCCAATGCCAGGGGTCCTGAGTCAACACGTTGCCATTAGACCCCTGGCATATTTCATTCAATATTCGTGGGCTTGCTTCTCTCATTGAGAAGCACCAATCAAATTAAAGCTTTCATAAATAGTTAGAGAATGTAAACAAAAAGGATTCAGTTGACACCTCAAATGCATGTGTTAGAAGTTGTTTATCATAGAATGGCTTAATGTGATTGATTGAGAGATGAGGAAAACAATCAAGATTTAATTTTTGTCCGAAAGACGGCGCTGCAGTCAGCCCACGAATGTTGAATGAAATATGCCAATGGGTCTAACAGCAACGTGTTGACTCAGGACCCCTGGCATTGCGAGGATGCATGTACATGTATCTCAGTGGTCAGCTGACAGATATTAAACAAGAGGCCCAGGGACCAGAATGCTCACCTTTGGGTCTGGAGAGTTATAATCATAAGAAACATAGAGCACTAGTGAGTATACATACCTCTGTAATATGGAAGGTAGTCATTCCAGGAGAAGTAGTTGAAGACATAAAAGAATGTTTTGTTTTTTCCTGTTTGAAATCTCATAGCTTCATTCATTCCTGTGCCGAACATGTAGTCAGACATCATCTAAGACAAAAATGAGAAAACATCAGAATTCAGACATACAGTTAGAAGAAACATCATGTTCTGTTTCAAGTTGAAACTTACAACAGACCTATGTAAATAAACTTTAATATACATGTATATAATCAACTGCTGCTCCCACTAAAGCTTAAACATTTTCACTACTTACATGTATATTTGAATTTCTGTAAGCATATTTACTCCAAAATTGTAACACATTCATAAAATTAATTGATTGGTATGTTTAGTAGATAATTAGACCAGTTGAATTTTATTGGATCAGCTGCATTCTAAAGTGAAAGAACCAATTATTTCAGGACAGATTTACATATTACTCACATCAATGGTCTTGTGGAGGATCATGGTCTGATTTTTGGGCTGTGGCCAGTATGTATACTGGTAAATCATGGCATCCCTGGTGACACTATCTTGAACACCTCTATCACTAAGAAACTCATTAATGATATTGTCAAACTGAATCTTCTGTATGCCTTCATCAAGAGTTGGCAAATTGGCTGTAAAAAATTTCACATTAATTTTTTTTTCCTATATGGAATCACAACAATGTAAACTTTTTTTTTTTGAAACATTATTATATTTTCTAGAACAGTGACTTTATTGGATTTATTTTTAAACCCCCATAATGTGAGTATCCATTTCATGATATTAAAGATAAAACAATTTCACAAGATTCTCAAAACTCCTATCTTGTTAATGTGCAAAAATTGCTTCTAGTATTACTCCTCTAGTTCAACTTTTCACATGCAGGATACTCACGAATAAAGAATGACCCATCATCTTTGTTGAGACCTCCCATCACTTCAATTGGTTTGAAATTGTACAGTTCTCTCATTTGTTTTGGATGATCTGGTAGAAATGCACTGACTGTCCCCACCAATGACCCGTCCACTACTGGACCCCAGGGGTTTCCAACGGAACCAGGCTGGAAGAGTGGAGAAAACAGATATTCAGTATAACAAAATTTGCTATTTCTTTCCATTTTCAAAAATTTGCACTGAATGCATTAACATGTGCATCAAAAGTCAATTAAGAAAAACTTTAGAACTATTTTGAATGTAACAACTCATTACCATATCCAGTATGTTATTGAACATCATATAAACCTACCCTTAGTCTGACTTTGGATGAAGCATTTACAATCTCTCCATATGATCTATGTTCCCTGAGACACTGGGTTAACCTGAACATGTCTCCAGTAGGGCAGCCCAGTTCACGGGCCAGTTCCTGGGCATAATATTGGGCATCATTGTTAGTCTTTATGATAGCCCATTCACTTCTGTCTGAACCACTCTGCATGATGGCACGATGGAAGAGGTCTGAAGTTTACAGTAAAAACAATGTCATTAATAAACAGAATACTGAAAATCAACAGTTCAGAAATATGTATGTATTAGTCAAAAACACAATTCAAGTACGGAGCATACAGTAAGTGTGAAAAATGTCTTAGTATGCATGAAGAGGATTGATTCACAAGTACAGAAATTTACATTACATCAGAATGGATCATTCTATCCACCATGACATGTAATCACTGAATGCACATTTTTTTGAATTATTACACTAAATGTTGCCCCAGATGACAAACACTACCATTATTTACTTACTGACACTTCTTGGTGACAGAATCTGTAAGCCAACACTTGATGCCCCTGTATTTTGTCCAAATATGGTGATGATCCCTGGATTTCCTCTGAAATTTCTTATATTTTCTTTCACAAACTCGAGGGCCCTGACCTGATCCCACATTCCATAATTCCCTGGAGAGTTGGCATCATTGGTACACAAAAACCCTACAGAACATGTCATCATTAACTGTTATCTTTTTGATCAAAGAATAATGTTTTCAAGATTAACAAAGAGCTGCACCAAGAACAAACATGTACATTAATCATCAGGGTATGTACCCTGTACAGTGTTCTGCAGTTAAATGTAACTATATCATGTCTTTGGTTTCTTACCTATTAGTACTTGCCTGCAATTAAAGGTAAAAATACCCTGTTCTGGACCTCTTGCATAGTGGTATTATTGTTACTATTTTATAAAATCTGTTCACTTCTTGACTTGAAGTTAAATGCCACTATACCTCTGTCAAAGGGTTTTTGTAGTATTGCTAACCTATAGTTTAAGGTTACCACACCCCGCTATGAGCCTCTTACCAAATATTTCTACATTACAAAGTTTACACACTAAGTCTTGATCCTCATACCTAGTGGTCCCAGTCTGTAATTAAATGTGACCACCACCACATCCCTCTCTGCCAAGAAGACCCCAGGGTACTCCTGTGATGCCCCCATGGTGTAACCTCCACCATGGATAAAGACCATTACTGGATAAAGTGTGGGACTATTACTAGGGATTTCTTCTGTTTTCTGTAGTTATAAAACACATATCATCAAAATTAAATATACTGAACATCATTAGCACTGGAAAGTTTGAACAATAATACTGAATGCAATTCTATACAACATTTAAACACTATGAACATGATAGACGTAAATGAAATCTTCACGTTGTCTTACACTTGGTGCGAAAATGTTCATGTAGAGACAGTCTTCACTGATGTTGGCACTGCCCATGTTTGGGACAGTTTCCCTGACATACCACAGATGCTGTGGGCAGGCTGGTTTGTAGGATTTAGCTTCCCACACTCCCTCCCAGTATGGTCTCTCTGGCTTCTACAAAAACAGACCAAACAAGGCTTTTAATGATTTTTAAAGAGCCACCAACATGGTCTATAAACATTCTAGTAACAAATCTGATCACCAAGGATGACCCACATTAATGTTTTGAGGTCCACAATTTTATCTCTGCTTCGTAAAAACAAAAATTTTTGTACTTTAATTTCTGAGACGTATACTTTGCCATCCATAATCTTTCATTTCCCTAATACAGGATTGTCCTTATTTTAAAAATTGAAATAGCAGGGGACATTAAAAAAGTAGAAGGGGTTCTTCTCCTAAAAGGGGGTTGAAGGGGAATACATGTACCAGAATAACCAGGCCTGGGAATGTCATATAGGCAGGGAAATTCCCCGGCCCCCAGGTCTTAGGGACAATCCTGCTGATAATTGAGACATTCACCATAAATGAATGAAATTGCATGAAATTTTATGTTTTCCTTCATTTCGAGACTTCTCAAAGTTATAAAATTGAGGCAATTCAGGGTCTAGAGAACATTTTGTAAATTGTAGGTAGGAAACTGAAAATGAAAGTGCATTTAATTGGAGAATCAAAGCATAGTCAAGCAATTAAGCACAGGGTTCTAAGATTAGAAATAAGGGTTGCTATTAATTATGCAGCATACCTCAATTTGAAAACCTTCATCCTAATTTTTCAATATATTAGTGTGAGTTATAAAATTACTAACTGAAACAAGTTTAAAAATCCTGTAAAATACAATGACATCTCTTCATAATTTAGCAGCTGTTTAAGCTGTTAGATGAATGTTAAGTAATAAAATGATATAAACAGTAATAAGACTACCTTAAACCTATAGAGTTTTGGGTCATTGTTGTACTCTATTGGTCGTTTTGCGTAGGGAATTCCGAGGAATATATTGATATGTTTTCTGTATCTGGCAGCATACTGCGAGGGAATAGCAAAACCTTCAACCGGTCCATGTTGTGTATTTACACGTACGCTATACGAATAACTACATTCTGCAATATCTATTACACTTAAAATTACACAGGAAATAAAAAGAATCCCCATATCATATGAAAAATAAAGGCCAAATCTTTGACATATCAAACACTTGATTCATATCGGAAGTAGTACGAACGTAAACAGTATTAGATAACTCGCTCTTTTAAATTTCGAGTGATCGGGGTAAACCTAGGACCTTTCCCAGGCTAGGACAACTCCCGTTCTGAGAAAAGACATTTCTCAAGTCTAAAAGTTAATGAAAAGTTATATTTTTTCAAAAATTGTATCGTCAATATCATCTTTTACACATTTGTTTCCTTTATTTTATTGAATAAATTATTGAAAAATAATTTATTTTCACTCATGTTTTAGAAAAAAAAAGATTTACACATGATTCTAACTCTCTCCAAAGCTCACAGTTAGGCACAAGACTGAACGCTTTAACCACTATGCTACTCCTTGTCTTCGATGTAATTCACTGTGATTAAAATAAACAATTTTGTTGAAGCGTATAATTTTTTTTCAGAAATGTTCAATTTTCATAAAGAATGGGTTCAGACTCCATTTTTTTGAAACATGAAATAGATTTTACATTTACGTTTTCGTCATTTAAATGTTGATGAAGAATGAAGACTTGACCCATTCATGTTCAAAAATCATTATTTTATGGCTCGAATAAACCCATTTTCTACTAAATGTGCTTAACTGTCAATTTTTAAATCAAATTACATGCATCGATTAATAAGTCATTCAATAAAATAAATGAATCGAATGTGTTGATGACATTTCTGAAAACATAATTTTAAAAAATATAACTTTTCTGTGAATTTTGAACATTGAGAAATATATTGTCTCAGAGCAGGGGATTATCCTCGCCTTGTACATGTACACCCTTTTTATTCAAGCATGTAGAATTTAAGTAGTTTTAATGCTGGTATAAACAGTAAACTTGAATACATGATAAACCTAAGGTGACAGTTAAAAAGAAAAGTCTTTCTAGATTTCAAATTAGTTTGATAAGGTAAATAATTTTATATACAAGTATATGCTATATATTAACAAGTTTTGATGTTTTCTTTTAAGTTCTATGCTGCGTCTTTTCTTATCAAATAATAGTCTAAGAAATGATTGCCCCCAAAAGACATTGCTGCAGTCAGCCCTTAAAATATCAAATGAAGCTTGTCAGGGGTTCCACATGCACAATTCTGCCCAGGACCCCTGATGTTGTGAGGATGCACCATACCTATCGACCACAAGACTCAATTAATTCATATATCATTCACCTCATCATCAAAGCCTTCGATCAGAGAAAAGCGACAATCAAGAAGAGGCATTTTTATGCTTTTTAATAAATAAGAATCTTTGAACAATCAATTTTTTTTTTACCTCAATGCATACACATTTTTACACTTAAAACACCCAAAATCAAATAATTATTTTTATGTTTCATACATACCTTTATGATTAAAGTATAATAAATGAATGATTCCAGCAATCATATATTAATACTCAAAATACACTGCACATGTACACAAAATTAGCCATACATTTAAAGCTTTAAAAAAGATGGAATTAAATGCATTGTACTTGTACAACATAAATAGCTCAGTATACCCACAACAACAATACTATCCAACTTTGGTAGTAACATACAAAAACAATACTTTGGGAATACTTGAATGTATCAAAAATATTTTTTCAGCAGTTTATCTTAATTTTGCATCCTGATACATAACAAAAGTTAAAACAATATTTTTGTCCTAACAGTAAGCAACATAACTTGCCTTCAAAATGTTCATTAAAACATCAATTAAATTCTGTCAAAAAAGAATTTTATAACATACATTCTTTGCAGCATTATACAAACAAGGATTTCTATTCCAATGGCACAAATAAAACAAAAATGTTAAATGCCTTTATTTCACATGAAATTGCTTTTTTTGTTTCTGTTTGGGCAAGGGTACAAAATGACAAACAAGAGGCCCAAGGTCCTTAACGGTCACCTGAGTATAATACAACAATTTAGAAGTTAAATACACTGACAGATGAAGCTTTGTTGCCCTAAAGCAAGAGAAGTAGGAAGATCAGGATCAACAAAATAATTAGTCTAGTATTCAGTATCAACTCATAACTTAAGTCCTAATCTGTCCCCCACTTAATATTATCACCATGCAGACTATTAACAAACTATTAGTGCTTCTGTACTATTTTTAAACCCATATTAAGACCTCTAGCATCGACCTCTCTTGTGGTCTTTGAAGAACTTTTAATAAGATAAGTTATTTTTGTCTCGTTTTTATTTATCTATTACTTACAGGTCTACCTGATTATTAAAACTAAGAAAGTACTTTTTGAATTATACAATAAACATTCTTGCATAATTATCTTATTCTATTAACCTTTCAAAAACATTATTTACAGTGATTAATTATCAAAGATGAATGGAAAAGGGGAATAACTTCTCTCAGTAGAATACAAATTAATAGAGCCCTGCCCAGGACCAGAATGCTTAGACGAATTGTCCAGATGTTCAAAAATCTGGTAGAAATACGCTTACTTATATCATTTAAACTTTTACTCAGTTTGCTTTCGATATGCCCAGAAGCAGAGAAGAATTTCACAGGTACAATGCATTTTCACTACAGATTCAACAAAGCCTTACCCTAACACCAGAACCCAAGACCAAAGGTCAAGAAATTTACAAAATTGGAAGAGTTACCCTCATCATCATAACTATGGACTTCAAAGAATTAACACTTTTCCACTATATTATCAAAAGCCCCCCCCCCCCTTCCTCGTTATGCCAGAACCCCTGACCCTAGGACCACAAGATTTAAAAATTCTGTTCGAAGCTCCCATCTTCATCATAGCTAAGCAATTTATTTATCAGCTCAACACTAGGGAGCATACAGGATTAGTTAATGATTAATTAATAGAATTAATGCATTTTCACTATATAATCAATAGAGCCCCCCTCCCCCCCCCCCTCCTCAAGAACCCCAAAAACTGAGGCCATGTATTTAAAAATTTTGGAAGAGGCATCCTTGCCTATCATAATCATGCACTTAGTTTGTTTAAATAATCTCCAGTAGCAAAGAAGAAGATTTTCATAGAATCAATGCATTTTCACTATATAATCAATAGAGCCCCGCCCTAACACCGGAACCCCTGACCCTGGGGCCATGAAATTCACAATTTTTAAAAAGGCATCCTTATGCATCATAACCATGCACTTAGTTTGTTTAAATAATCTCCAGTAGCAGAGAAGAAGATTTTCAAAGAATCAATGCATTTTCACTATATAATCAATAGAGCCCCACCCTAACACCAGAACCCCTGACCCTGGGGCCATGAATTTCACAATTTTGAAAAGGCATCCTTATGCATCATAACCATGCACTTAGTTTGTTTAAATAATCTCCAGTAGCAGAGAAGAAGATTTTCAAAGAATTAATGCATTTTCACTATATAATCAATAGAGCCCTGCCCTAACACCAGAACCCCTGACCCAGGGGCCATGGCTTTCACAATTCTGCAAGGGGCCCACCTCCTCATCATAACTATGTACTTAGTTTATCACCTTAATGCCCAGGAGCAGAGAAGAAGATTTTCAAAGAATTAATGCATTTTCACTATATAATCGATAGAGCCCCGCCCTAACACCAGAACCTCTGACCCTGGGGCCATGAATTTCACAATTTTGGAAGAGGCTCTCTTGCTCATCATAACTATGTACTTAGTTACTTAATTTAATACCCAGGAGCAGAGAAGATTTTCAAAGAATTAATGCATTTTCTTTAGATAGTTGATAGAGCCCCGCCCTAACACCAGAACCCCTGACCCTGGGGCCATGACATTCACAATTTTGGAAGAGGCACTCTTGCTCATCATAACTATGTACTTAGTTACTTTACTTAATACCCAGGGGCAGAGAAGAAGATTTTCAAAGAATTAATGCTTTTTCACTATATAATCTATAGAGCCCCACCCTAACACCAGAACCCCTGACCCTGGGGCCATGAATTTCACAATTTTGAAAGAGGCACTCTTCCTCATCATAACTATGTACTTAGTTACTTTATTTAATACCCAGGAGCAGAGAAGATGATTTTCAAAGAATTAATGCATTTTCACTATATAATCAATAGAGCCTCACCCTTACACTAGAACCCCTAACCCGGGGCCATGAATTTCACAATTTTGGATGAGGCACTCTTGCTCATCATAACTATGTACTTAGTTACCTTATTTAATACCCAGGAGCAGAGAAGAAGATTTTCAAAGAAATAATGCACTTTCACTATATGATTTATATAGCCCCACCCTGGGGCCAGAACCCCTGACCCTGGGGCCATGAATTTCACAATTTTGAAAAGGCATCCTTATGCATCATAACCATGCACTTAGTTTGTTTAAATAATACCCAGGAGCAGAGAAGAAGATTTTCAAAGAATTAATGCATTTTCACTATATAATCAATAGAGCCCTGCCCTAACACCAGAACCCCTGACCCAGGGGCCATGGCTTTCACAATTCTGGAAGGGGCCCACCTCCTCATCATAACTATGTACTTAGTTTATCACCTTAATGCCCAGGAGCAGGGAAGAAGATTTTCAAAGAATTAATGCATTTTCACTATATAATCGATAGAGCCCCGCCCTAACACCAGAACCCCTGACCCTGGGGCCATGAATTTCACAATTTTGGAAGAGGCTCTCTTGCTCATCATAACTATGTACTTAGTTACTTAATTTAATACCCAGGAGCAGAGAAGATTTTCAAAGAATTAATGCATTTTCTTTAGATAGTTGATAGAGCCCCGCCCTAACACCAGAACCCCTGACCCTGGGGCCATGACATTCACAATTTTGGAAGAGGCACTCTTGCTCATCATAACTATGTACTTAGTTACTTTACTTAATACCCAGGGGCAGAGAAGAAGATTTTCAAAGAATTAATGCTTTTTCACTATATAATCTATAGAGCCCCACCCTAACACCAGAACCCCTGACCCTGGGGCCATGAATTTCACAATTTGAAAGAGGCACTCTTCCTCATCATAACTATGTACTTAGTTACTTTATTTAATACCCAGGAGCAGAGAAGATGATTTTCAAAGAATTAATGCATTTTCACTATATAATCAATAGAGCCCCGCCCTTACACCAGAACCCCTAACCCGGGGCCATGAATTTCACAATTTTGGATGAGGCACTCTTGCTCATCATAACTATGTACTTAGTTACCTTATTTAATACCCAGGAGCAGAGAAGAAGATTTTCAAAGAAATAATGCACTTTCACTATATGATTTATATAGCCCCACCCTGGGGCCAGAACCCCTGACCCTGGGGCCATGAATTTCACAATTTTGAAAGAGGCACTCTTGCTCATCAAAACTATGTACTTAGTTACTTTATTTAATACCCAGGAGCAGAGACGAAGATTTTCAAAGAATTAATGCATTTTCACTATATAATCAATAGAGCCCCGCCCTAACACAAGAACCCCTGACCCTGGGGCCATGAATTTCACAATTTTGAAAGAGGCTCTCTTGCTCATCATAACTATGTACTTAGTTACTTAATTTAATACCCAGGAGCAGAGAAGAAGATTTTCAAAGAAATAATGCACTTTCACTATATGATCTATATAGCCCCACCCTGGGGCCAGAACCCCTGACCCTGGGGCCATGAATTTCACAATTTTGGAAGAGGCACTCTTCCTCATCATAACTATGTACTTAGTTACTTTATTTAATACCCAGGAGCAGAGAAGAAGATTTTCAAAGAATAAATCCATTTTCACTATATAATCTATAGAGCCCCGCCCTAACACCAGAACCCCTGACCCTGGGGCCATGAAATTCACAATTTTGAAAGAGGCACTCTTGCTCTTCATAACTATGTACTTAATTACCTTATTTAATACCCAGGAGCAGAGAAGAAGATTTTCAAAGAAATAATGCACTTTCACTATATGATCTATATAGCCCCACCCTGGGGCCAGAACCCCTGACCCTGGGGCCATGAATTTCACAATTTGGTAGAGGGCTCAATGCTTATTACAATGATGCCAACAGTTTGACTGCTTGATGTCCAGGAGTAAAGAAGAAGATTTTTAAAGATTGCATTATTTTTGGTGGTTTTAGCCCCACCCCTCAGGCCCCAGGGGGGCAGGGACCATGAAATTCACAATTTTTGTTTCCCTTCACCCATAGATGCTATATGCCAAATTTGGTTGAAATTGGTTAAGCGGTTTCAGAGAAGAAGCTAAAAATGTTCAAATGTTAACGCACGACGCACGCCGACGGACGAGAACGGATAGCAATAGGTCACCTGAGTGACTCAGGTGACCTAAAAAAGAAATACATATACCAGAATGAACAAAATCCCAACATTTGCATCATAAAATCATGAACAAACTCTTAAAGTATTTTATTTGTAGCAACTTTTACATCCAGAAATGCCTTCAATGGTTGAATTTGTGGAGATTAAACCTTTAGTCACTCCTTAATTCAAAACATCAGCTCAAAATGAATATAGATATCACCAAATAATTCCAACAATGAAATACATTTCCATGCATTAACAATAAATACACAAGAAATAGATGTAAACAAGTATTGCATATTCAAACTGCACAAAAATCTTAACTTTTCTAAGGGACATCATCCACGTTCAGATCTTGTTGTGGTTCATCTTGTGTCAGCTGCTTGGTGATGAGAATAAATTGACATTAGGTAGACTGCTGGCCGTGTTTTCTGTCAGTGATACGGGTGTTGTATCTGTACTGTCATTTATGATAATGTCTTTTGTTTTATATTTTCCAAGTTTGTATTTGCAGCACACAACCTCCACAAAGAATTCTGTCCAATTGTGTATCATTCCTAAATGACAAAAAAGAGCAATAAAAATGAGATACCCATATAGGCATTCAAATCCACCTGAGTATCAGGAGTTTCTCTGTTATCATATAACCAATTTACCCCACCAGTGTATAAAACTCTTGACCCAAGGAACATAAATTTTTCAATTTTGGTCAATATCTCTTCATTTATTATCACAAAAGTGTCTGCTAGTGTTGAGGAGTAGAATTTATATTTTATGACTTATATAAATACTTTTGTTAAAGCAATATGAGCTGCAACTTTGATGTCAGAAATTTTTGTTGCAAAATTGTAATTTAACTATTTGAATGGCAGAAAAAAAAGAACATTTATAAATTTCTGTTGTTCATATTTGCTGGAATAAATATTTAGAAGCTTTGATTGAAGCAAAATTACATTATTGTCACCCTGTACAATATTGATCTCTTACAAAATACTATATATTTGTCTGTACAGAAGTCTTTCCTTTTAAACAATTTAATGCTTTATTGTAGTCTTACTGATCATAAAGGGTTAAATTACTTACAAATTTATCATAATAACACATTTTAACAGCAAAATAAAATTCTCAAAAATGCAGGTCATATTGCTTTAAATAAACTTTAAAAAAAAAAAGAAAAAAAAAAGAAAGATCTGTATAACTCACCTGAGACAGCAAAAATTCCTCCCACAATGCCGCACAGCCGAATCAGGAACTGACTAAAAGGTCTATGTGTTTCTTTCACACGGATTTTCAGTGCATTAAGGTCATATTTCACAAATATTCCTGGCACACCATGACTCCCTTTACTATGATTAATTGTTCTGTTCTAAAAACAAGGAGGAAAACAACATGTCACTATATTGACTTTTACATGTACATTCATGAAATTCTTAATTTTTGACTTTGGGAAATGTATGTACAGAAAGGATAATCACATTGTATACATGTACAAGTATATTATTGATAAGAAATGTAATCATGTAAAATTTACTTCAATTTAGCATTTTTTCCTTCACTGTAATAGTCATTCTAATGAAGCTTTTTAACAAAAGATTTTATGACTCTGAGTTATCCCCCTTACCCTCTGTGTGACAGAGAACTGGAATGTGTCAATGTTTCCTGCTGCGTAGGTCCTGACCTCAGTTGGTACAATTTTTATATAGTAGTTAAAAACATGGAAGTCTACAAAACATACCATCAGACATCATCAAAGTTAAAGAAATTTTCAAATCAATAAGCACTGAACTCCAAAACTCTGCAGACCAGATATTTGTCAGTTGATAAATTGCTAACTATGTTCATGGGGAGTTTTATCTTTTGACTTAATATACACTTACTGTCTGTTGATATCTGCTCCTCTCCATCCAGTGGATTTATGATGCCTTTTACGGTATCCCCGAAGGAGAAGTGGTCAATTCTATGGGAAAAATTATAGTCTGAAAAGAAGAAATTTCTGAAATTACAAAAATCAGGAGATTCACAGGCAAAAATGCTCATGTAAATTAAATTTGCTCTTAAAAACAAGCCAAAATCATACATGTTAACCTACTGTGATGAAAAAGAGGGAGATTCAGACCTTAAAAGAGGTAGCATTGCACACGTTGTTTTACACACTGATTTAAGAAGATATACCTATATGTAAATATTACCTAAATTGACCACTGCAATAATTTAAACTCAAATATCAACTGCAAAGAAGAAGACAAAAACACCTTTAACATAAATTATATATACAAATATAAATATTTTTAATGCTCATTACTTTGGCTTTGAATGGCTGCTTAATTTAGTCTTTTGACAAGTGATCTTTGTTGGAAGCAATAATTCTGAATGTTCATTCAGTTGTCAGATACAGCTAATGATGACATTATTTAGCCTACTTCAGATCTAAAACTAGTTCTTATCTTTCGTTAAATAAATTGTATTTTCCTGTGATGACCATAAACGAAAGTAGAGATGCAAAAAAAGTATTATAAATGAATGCTGATTCCTTTTTTTTTTTTTACTTTACTGAATGATGTCAAAAGTTTTTATCCACTTCTAGAATACTATATCTCCTTTTTCTTGCAGAGATGTCGATGAAATTTATAGTAACCAATGTAATCACAGCGATTTGTGCACCTGTTGTTGTCAAACATGTGCTTGAAATCTGTGTAAACATCGGATTTAAAAAAAGCGTTTGAATGCTCCCAGTTCAAATCACACAATATCTAACGAGATTTTATGATGAGTGGCTTCAAAAATGGCTACCCAAGTGAATCAAAAATGGATTTTTGTAGAAAAGCGGTAGATTTACGAATAAAAGCGATAGGCGGGAGATGGAGTAAAAAAGCGGTAGACTTCCACCTAGAGCGGTAGAGTTAACATGTATGCCCAAATGCAAGAACATAGTACCAGTGTGCTTAATTACCTTTTTCATGAACCATCATTGAAATATGAGCATGACCTCTTGGAAAAACTGGAACTGATCTAAATAACAGAGACAAAAGCATGAATGTGCAAGAAATTCAAGTCAAATATTTTACCCTACCGAGCAAACTTATACTTAAAATAATCGTTTTAGATGAAAGATTAGTTTGTTACATATACATTTATGTTATTGGGGCATTACATGCAGAAAAAAGAAAGTGATACACAAATTGACTGACTTTCCTGCTGTGATGTGGAAATTCCCAGCCACTTTGTTAACCTCCAGAGACCCATAGACTCGACAGGCATCAGGATCCCCCTCAGCTGGAGTCTCCCTGTGTACCAGAAAATTACAAAGAAAATAAAAGACAAATACAGGGTATACAAAATAGCCATGTCCCTATGGTGCAATGAAGTGAAATTCTTGAAAAAGGTGTACTCTGGGTTTATCACATTTTTCTGAACAATAGTTGTTGTGGTTGAGCCAGGCCACAAAATTAAATGATAAATAAAATTCATACAATAGGAGTGGGTAGCTGTCCACAAATTTACACATCAACTAAATCATGTATTTTTTGCAAAAGTAACAAAATTTGATCCCAACAATAATCAATTAAAGAAAAGTATAATGTCGTTTTCTAAATGTTAAGTAAAATGCAATATACACAATGTATAAGCAAAGTAAACATGCATGTGCATATAAATGGAAAATGACTGTGATTGAGTTTGATTATAAATTTAAACATTTCCTTAGCTAACAACTTCAATATTAATATGGTACATTTACATACATCAATTTTCACATACGACTAAGCCTAACTGTAATACATTTATCTCCAGCAAACACAAATTATTTAAACATAAAAAAAAAACCTTTTTGGCATCCCAGTTTTATATGTTGCAATTAAGCCCCTTGACATCCACATGACATCCTGGAGAGCATGATACTCAGATCTCAGAAACTCACTGATCTCCTGAACTGTCTCATGGTAATGTCTCTGGTTTGGACTAAGTTCAAAATAAGCATCCTCATATTTCAGCTCTCCAAAACCATGTGTGTCCTGTCCCGTTACATCCAGGACATCTGCTCCAATTGCTGCAAATAGACATAACGGTTTCAATCATCATCTTTCATGAAGTTGAAGAGGCTCTAGTAATTTGGTGCTGCACATATTTTTATGCAATGCTTTAGTCAGCCTATCTCAGGAAATGCCTGAGGCACTTTAGTAAGGTGATAATGCCCCTGTAAGTGATATGAATCAAGTTATCTGAAAAATCATACATGTACCTGGTATGTTGACATCCTTTCATTGTTACTTGCCATTACATTTCATTGTTACTAACCATTAAATTTCATTGTTACTTACCATTACATTTCATTGTTACTTACCATTACATTTCATTGTTACTTACCATTACATCTCATTGCAACTGTCATGTCTATGTTGAGCTTCAACTTTCTGAAAACATACAAGGGAAAAAAATTCAGTCAAGATGAATTTTATTTTATTCTGGATGTAAGTCAATAAATCTAAACTAAAGTCAGCTTGTTCTTATCCGTCTATTATTTCTGTATCATATCACTTTGCCATGTTCAATCACATATTTTTTTTTAACAAAATAATGTTCATTCAAGTTTCAAATCCACTGTACAAATGGTCATTCACAAATAAGATCCTCAAATTTTATTTTGCTTTCTCTATTAAACACGCACATTGTTTTCCCATTCAGCATAAACATACTTGTAACATTGTATGTTCAACAATGCATAATATTGAACATGTTGAAGGGTTATAGCCTTAATTACAAAATTTAGTCATTAATTGATTAATTAAAAGCTTTCATTTATACTAATTTTACATTCCTCTTATCTAAAACATCAGAATAGCAATCTTACCCATCAAGCCCAGTGTCAACTTCATATTCAAATTTCAGATCTGTTGTGGAGTAATATATTATCTCTGACACAACCAGAATAAATATACACACAAAAACAGCAATTGATACTGAAATGTAAAAAGAAACAAAAATACATGAATTATTTCAAGATCAACGAAGAAAATCAAATTCTAGTAAAGTATGAAGTCGAATGTTTGAAACAGTTAATCTAGATTCAATGGGATAAAATATTTCATCACATACTTTTCAACTTCATTTATGGAGTAAAAGGAAAAATTGAAAGGTATGACATAAGCATTAATGGCAATACAACACTTTTTTTCAAATTCAATTGATAATCTAACTGACCTGAAATAAAAACTATTAGTTTAGTTAGAGTAAGACAAGGATATTAATAACACTAACTTCCCCCTCCTGAAGCAGTCTTCTCCTGGCAATCATCCAGGACTTTGGGAAATGCATCGAGTTCCGTCACCACCTTAATGGCCTGCTTTCTATTTGCCACATTCAGTCGCCTCATCTCTGCTCAAAGTTTGTTATAGTTTTAAACATATCATTCTACTCTGAAATTAAAAAAATTCTAAAATATATTATATGTAAGCTTTTTAAGATTTGTAATGCTTATTAATAACAGTAATAGGAAAGCAAAATATATCATTACTTTTTCAAATGTGTCCTTTATTTCCTAGCTCTGTAATGAAAAATATTTGATTCAGTCAAAACGATTCTATATTTTATTCTCAAACAGTGTCTCACAATATATTTATTTAAGGTTGTTCACATTATTTTTCTTTCACTTCATTTTCTTTTTATAATATCTGATGAAGGAACACTACTTGAAAATAGAAAACAAAGAAATTTGTTTCATTCATCACAGCCATTACTACTTAGAATGATCTAACTGTATGTCAGGACAGGCCTACAGTAGTTCCGTAGGCAATGGTAGGAGAAAATCATTTAATGGTATTCAAGTCATTACAGTAACATTTTTTATTATATAACATGTAAGGAACCAGCAAAGGACATTCATTTTTATTTCCTCAGTGACATTTTGTATCAAAATTATTACCTAAAATTGTTGTTTAGTGTATTGCTGTGTGTTTTCTCAATCATAACAGACTTAACAAATAAAAAGACTTAAGAAATCAGAAAAGCAACAAAGACCTGGTTATGATGGTTAAAATGCTAGTCAGTCTATCTACAAAATCTTAGGTCATGAGGCTTTACGCTGAAGGAAAAAACAATCCTCTTTTTTCTATTTGGCCTCCTTCAACGAAATCCAGTCAATGCGCCCCCTAACAAAAAAGTCCCGGTCAAAGCGCCCAATGATTTTGGTCAAAGAGCCCTCTGATTTTGGTCAAAGCGCCCCCTAAAGAAATTTTACAGTAAAATGATGTTTCAAAATCGCCCCCAAATATTTGTCAAAGCGCCCCCAGCTGATTTTGGTCAAAGCCCGCCTAGAGAAATTTTACAGTAAAATGATGTTACAAAACTGCCCCCAAATATTGGTCAAAGCGCCCCCTGATTTTGGTCAAAGTGCCCCCTAATATAATTTTATAGAAAAATTCTGTTTCGAAACCATCACCAAACAATGGTCAAACCCCTGATTTTGGTCAAAGAGCCCGCTTATTTTGGTCAAAGCGCCCCTTAGATATTTTTATAGAATGTTCGTTTGCAAAAAGCCCCCTAAACTTGGTCTCTTTACTAATTTATGCTATTTTTTTTCTTTTGTCTGTTCAGTGTGACCCATGAAATATTTAAAAGATTAATATTAAGTTTGAATAATCTTACAGAAAATATTTCCAAAGAAATGAGAATGAGAATGTTCGTCGGTATCATATAATTATCCCCCTCCCCCCTAAAAAAAATTATATCGATACCGTTGCCCAGCTCTTGACATGTGGAGGCCTTCTCAATAAGAGCCATAATTTTGAAGAAAAAATGAAGAAAAAAAATTAAACCCAAAGATGACTTTTCGAACTTCAAAATCCAATTATTAAACCCAACTATTGCATAATATAATATACTCGATAATCTCTCAGAAACGTTTCCAAATTACGGTTGACTTTTGTTATTTTGTTTTATTTTAATACAGAACAGAAATTTTTTATCATACAAGAAAGTTTTGAGAATGTAACATCATTTTACTGTAAATTTCTTTAGGGGCGCTTTGACCAAAATCAGCTGGGGGCGCTTCGACCAATTTTCGGGGGCGGTTTTGTAATATCATTTTACTGTAAAATTTCTTTAGGACCAAAATCAGGGGGCTCTTTGACCAAAATCATGGGGCATTTGACCGGGACGGTTTTGTTGGGGGGGGGGGGCATTGACTGGCTCCCCCTTCATCAAGCTGAAGACTACCAGTGCCTACTACCAGCAGGTCTGGTACAATCACTAGATTTAGCTACGTAGCTTGAATTACCTACATAGCTTTATTTACCTACCTGAAGTAGCTTTATTTAGCTACTAAATCAAACTTATTTCTTAAATTAGCATTTTACCCAGAAAGTGGAGAAAATTGCATTTTGATGCAGTGATAATTTTCTACTTTGAACTCATCTGAAAACAATTCATGAAAAAATCACCCTTGGAAATGTGTCTTTTTCTGCACAATTGCAGTCAAAGTTCTAGAAGTTTTGGGGCTATATCCAACAGTTAATTTGTGACTTAACAGTTACTTCTTGAATGAAATAACAAAGAAAACCAGTTTTGGTTAACATGAGCACAATGTGAAGTAATCATACTTATCCATGCCTCATCGCACACATGGTGGTGTACAGTTACTCAAACAATGGAAATACATTTTTCCTTAAAAGTGTTCAAACGCAGCAATGTTAAAACTATCTCTGCTTTAGATTGCTTTTTAAATAATACCTAGAATAAATATTAGTAGTCATTAATTTACTTGCGACTTTTTGTCTCTTTAAAAATAAAAAGCAAAATTGTGAAAAGTTGCCTTGAAATAGCTAAATAAAGCTACCCGAGGTAGTAGTGGTGTTCCAATCATCGATTATAATCGAAAATCAGTCCACTGCTGGCATAATCCAAGCGCTCGATTACAAAATTTTTATTCCGATTAATCAGTTTATTTATTTTATTTTACAAGCATAATAATTTTTAAGCCAAATATTCCTGCCGCGACTTGTCTGTTAATTTATTTGTGTTTCGTAATGGCGCAGACAAACAGACATTGTATTCATACCAGGGTAACAACGCTTATTTCCAGGTATGGCCGTACTTTGGATTCAACAAAATGAACGAAGAACCAGCTAGACTAGATAGAACGTTCTATCATTAAAATGATATTGTCCTATGGACTATGGCTTTTCTCGAGACACATCTAGATTATTCTAACAACAGCTGGACCACCACAGAACGTAGTTATTCACCCATTCTTACCATTTAATAAACTAAATTGACAGACTTTGTAAATGTCCGATTATAATTGATAATTAGTTAGTTACAGTAGTCCGATCATCAATTATGAAATTCTTACCGATTCCCATCACTACGAGGTAGGTAAATAAAGCTACGGTTGGTAATTTTAGCTACGTAGCTAAATGTACTGCTTGTACTGGACCTGACCAGTACCAGTTGTATGTGCGCATGTTTAAAAGAAAGTTGTTTTTTTTAAACTGGATAAAAACAGGACTATATGACTTAAGTTTTCCTTGGTCACTTGAGATCTTATCATGAAACTCAGCAAATACATCAAACACCAATATTCATTAAAATCAAACTATGCCTTTGGTCGTAGGGAAAATAACTAGAATTTCCTCGGAATTTAAGAAGCATGTTATATAATTTTCGAAGCTAATATTGTATATTTTTCAAGAATATTAATTCACAAATCTTTGTATGCATTTGCTGGATTAGGCATACTTCTCTAGTCGCTTTTTATGGCTACTTTAGGGATTTATACCATCATACCTGCTGCGGCATCTGATTTTCCCTAACAGGAAGTTGTCAAGAGCGGAAGTACACGTATAAAGTGTGCGTTCGTTTATTTTTCTTGACCTGATCATTGATGTTGGGCTTGCAAAGAGGAAAAAATATGAAGAAAAAAAACATAAAATGAGTTCAAACATATTAGTATTATGTCAGATTTTTAGTTTTCCAAAAATAAGTAGGGTAGTGGCTTGTTTCCAGTTACCGTATTTTACACCACCCCGGATTTGTTTACAAGTTTGACATGCCCATCAACTTATCAAGGATGGAATGAGGCGTGGACAAGCATTAGACGGATTAGTTGACTTATTGCATGTCTGATTATCCTGTTGCCATGTCAGGGACTGGAAAGGTTTGTTTTAAAATTGTACACCAAAAATATTGATTTGGAGGAATCTAATTAAACTAAAAGAATGCGGGTGGTTACGTTCCGATGACTTGTTCGACCCGCGTGGTTCCGACACAAATCCATGTTCGACCCGAGTGGTTTCGTTCCAAAGCAATTAATTAACAATTAATTGCTTCGGAACGAAATTAATTAACACTTTCAAAAGTTTTACATTTTATTTTTTCGTCTACAATTTTTTTTCATATTGACCACGTATAACTGTGTTAATTATCGTATGTAATTAAATTTGGAGAAACGTACATTGTTCAGACAGTGCATATGTGATCACGGTACATTTGAAGAAGTATTTGATTAATTTTTATGGAAAATTGTTCAAATATAATTCATTACTAAATCAAATTTATCAACATTCATGCTCCGCGAAAGTAGAAAAAAATGTTAGGAAACCTGCATGTTGACTACACATACGGAAACAACTACCTATTGACACGCACATCTCTGAAGCCATACAATATACAGCTACCGGATATCCATTTGTTTACCGCACAGTGTATACCCCTGTACTCAGGTATTGACATGTAGGGATATATATTAGAGTAGGTCGAAACCACTTGGGTCGTAACCACGCGGGTCGAACACGGAATCGGAACGTAACCACCTGACACCAACTAAAATACTGAACAAATGTGAAATTTTATTATACAAAGTTTCAAAGACATGAAGCCTCAGTAACATTAATATTATTTGAAAATTTAGCTCTGTTCATATCATAAGATATGTCAGTCAATACCGTTCTTTGCTCATTTACATAGATATGTAAGTGACCACTGGACTGGTAACATATTTATAAATTCCCTGGAAAATTAATTAATATTTTAATTAATATGTAATGGTTTAAACCGTGGGTATCGACCAGGGTAGCTCAGTAGGTAGAGCACCTGATGCAGTGATGCAGGGTTCCTGGGTTTGATTCCCAATACAGCCATACATTATTTTATTGATATCCTTTCTGTTGCATAATTTGGTGCATTTGACCACCCCTCATCTTCGCTATAGCAAAGGGTTTCTGATCCGAACCCTCCTCACAAACCTTTGGCATATGGTGCTGTCAAAAGACGGGAATGTTTACGTCACGTGATCTTGAATCTTACCACGCACATATGCACAGATTGCGTCATCGATAGAAATAAAAAGCAAATTTAAACATTAAAGTTTTTAGAGAATAATTAACAAGAAGGTATCGAATGATGTTTACTTGTTATTTAGTGTGCAAATATACATCTGTAATATAGATTCCAGGTCACATTATTTGCACTTTAACCTATTATAAGATTGGATCACACCATAACTATTTATAGAATGACGTTATCTTATGGATCATTGTTCAGTTTGTGTTTTTCATTTCCAAGACTAAAGAGTCAAGATATATCCCAAATGCAGACATCGTCATTTACAAAAAACAATTGCTGATTGGTCAATCTGTATCAATCAACTCCAATCACAACTTGAGAAAAAAATCCTAACTTTTGACAGCACTGTAGGCCAAGGGATTATGAGGAGAGTAGCGGATCAGAAACCCTTGGCTAGCGAAGATGACCACCCCTGGACTTGCAGATGACCATGAAAGTCCTGCCAGGACAAAAAGAAAATGGGTTGTGTCTTTGTGGGAAAAGACAATTTAAGGAGGGAGGAAATTAATGGCTTGGGCTGTGGATATTGGCCTGGATAGCTCAGCTGGTAGAGCACCTGACTATTAATGGGGGGGTTCCAGGTTCGATTCCCAGTCCAGCCATACATTTTCTTCTTTCTTGTTACATAATTTGGTGCCATTTCCACCCCTGGACTTGCAGGTGAAAGTCCTGCCAGGGGCAAAAAGAAAATTTGGGTTGTTTTTCGAGGGCAAAGACAATTTAAGAAAGGAGGAATCTAATGGTTTAGGCAATGGATTTTGATAGCTTAGGAGAGCTCGGTGGGTACATAACCTGACTAGTAATGCAGGGACTCCGGATTCGATTCCTGGTCCAGCCATACATTTTCTCCTTTCCTTTTTCATAATTTATATTTTTATGGCGTCAAGCTCTTGGAGCTTGAACGTCATCTAGCGATCGGCCAGGTGAAATCGCCACCGGATGTACGCGACCCAATGTGTCAGTGGATGCAACCGCAATAGAAAATAGCAATAGCTATAAACCAATTTCTTTGAAAACGCTCACAATGAATAATAGCTTGAAAATAAAATTGCATTAATTGTATCTACAATTAATTCTTTTACAAAACAACGATAATATGTTTTATTTTCACACAAGAAAAACATGATGGTTGTTGCGGATGAATTTCTACAGAAAGGGTGCATCGAATGACATGAATAACATTTTGGAATGATAACCGTGTAACACAAACAACCAACAGGCGGTAAAATAATTACAAAGTTACATTAAAACACGAATACTACAAGCTTGAAAAGATTGAATTTCTAAATCTTAGCTTTACTTTTACAATCTTCTAACCAATTTTATCCTAAAAAGCCGATGATGTTAATCAGTATTACTGTATTTCTCCATTTCCTCCAATATACCACGCACTATCGTAACTCGATCGTACTTGTAACAGAGCAGAGTCATGGTTGTAGTTAAGATGCAATGACTAAAACAACGCTTTGAGGTTGGCAATTAGAAAGAATAATATATAAATTCATGAAATCCTTCATAGTTCTTCAATTGACTGAAAAGAAATTAGTTTGATATTTAGCATGAACATGTTCGACGGTGTCTGGTCAATTCGAACCCTGCTCCATTCGGACCATGACATAAAGGCCCCACACTACCGGTAATTGTGACATTTTGTTTAAAACTTTTTTTATTCTTATTTTTATTCTTATTATTATTATTATTATTATGTCACTTGAGTCACTTACTTGACCTATTGCTATCTTCAGATCTTTTGAAATTGTTTTTTCTTGTTTGACGCCATTGAAGCCTTTCAGGCTTTTGATTTATATTAGATACCATGCTAATCATTCATGGTAGATATGTCTACTATTAATGTCATCTCTTGTATTTAATTAACAAATCAAAGATTGCATAATCCGCAGAAAAAAATGAAGAAGTGTTAATTGTTTTGATTGCAGGATTAAATTAAATGCCATGCATGTTGAAATATTTACGGTTCCAATACACCTATGTAATTGAATTATTTGAAACTGTTGATAATTTTCATGGTTTTTTAATCATTTAATACACAAATCCCCCCCCCCCCCAAAAAAAAAAAAAAAAAACAAAACAAAACAAAACAAAACAAACAATTAAACCAACAATTTCAATTTAACAAATAATGAATCAATCGTTTTGTAAAGACGAAAGGTTTGTTTTTACTTCAAATGACAAATGAGGATAAAACATTTTTGAACACGTAACATCACTATTCACGTGGTTCAGTTAATTTTGATTAAGATGATGTACAAAGCTATATTTGTAAAGAAAAAAAAAAAACAAAAAAAAAAAAACAAACAAAAAACAGAATATGACTTTTTTAATTAGATATATGATTTGTAAACTTAATATGTGTGAATTATTATCCTAATTTGCAAGAAGTTCTATTCACATATTTAAAAATTTGTATATATAATTGGAAATGAATTTAAAATTAAATCATAACATTTATATACAAATACAATATTTTAAGGATTCAAATGTGCACTTGATATACTATGAACACACACACATAGCATATCATTGTGCAGACAGTATTATAGCTGTAAATATCATAATCAGGATTTCAACTTTTCAGTTATAAATTAATTTAATTATACAGTAAGCTGTCTTTCAAGAAGGAAACATTTTGTATGAAAAAGATTTTATCACTCTTTAAATAGGCTGCAGAGATATTTCTGAGGTATTAGGTAAGAGAATTACAAGCAATATTTGAATGTATGTAGATACAGGTGGTGCTAGTTTATTCCCTTTTATATGATACAGTTTATATTGCATGTTGAACTTTGCAGGTGTTTATGCATTAAAAATCATTGTAATATTATTACATGTATTATAAATAAATTGTTTGATTTACTGTCTACACAGTTAAAGATTAACTTGCTAATCTTATACTGAATATATTGTATAATGATTTTATCTGTTCTAATTATTAAAAAAAAATTATTTATATTTAGACATTAAGAAATATTGTAATTTATTTGAAATTAATATGTCACCAAGATTGGCACAAGCGAAAAATAAGTTTATATTCTTTTGATCATTTCAACAGAATTAAAGAAAATATTTAAAGGTTGAAAATAAATTCAGTCCATGCAATTGAGCATGCATGTATTTTTTATTCATTTATTATTATTTGTTGTTGTTATTATTCCTTATTTTTGTTGTGATATATTAGTCAAGAAAAAGAAAGAAAAATTATCATAAGCATATAATGCAGCATTTCTTCATTTGACGTGAAAATTTAAAAACTAGGCACACAGAATAGTTGAATTTTTCAAAATTGTTCAAGTCAAAGAATTAATTTGTAAAAAAAATTCGTATCACTTATCTAAGGATCAAATGTCACTTAATTATTTCTAAAGCCGAAAACTGCCATAATATAGTATGCTTTACCCACATTTATTTCCAAATAATTACATTGTATTCTTATTGTTTAGTTAGATACATGTACTTCTATTGCACAAGAGAGTTATCAATTAAAAGTGTGCAATCCTCAAATTCACTTCAGAAAAGTAGATTTTGTTGCCATTATGTTACTGTCATACATCATTATTAGCTATGTAGATTTCATACATGAATATATTGTGGGATATAAGTTTAATTGGGATAGAGTGACTCCATACAAACTTAAAGAAAATTTTTGTACATTTACAAATTAAATTAGATAATAATATCTTTATTTTTTATAGTAATCAGGAATGTATACTCATCTATATTCATTTTTAAGACATATGGTACTTCAAATTACTAACAAGTGTATACATTAGATATTATATTCTTGACCACTAACTGTTCACTAGGGTTAATATTCTTGCATGAAAACTTCAGTATGTTGTATGAGGTTTAAATCAACTAGAATAGTTTAAGTAATTTCCCTGCATTTTTCTTATAGATCAAGTACTTGTACTAGTAATTGATGTTATATGTAGTAATTCTATCCTAAACCTCGATCCCCTTCTAACTGTGTTACTACATTATTCTTAATACTTGGATAACCAATGTCTTGCTCATTCATTGATTTGATTTGAAACTCTGATAGAAAGGATAGTATTTTCTAACAGATCAATCTTCTGAATTCATCTGACATTAAAACAACAGTAATGTTAGACATTTCTACAAAATTGCTCATAAAATGATGTGGTTGATTCCTTCTTGACTTTGGCAATGGAAAAAGTATTTATGAGTAACCACACAGAAATATGTGTTTATTTTGTTCAGAATCAAAAACCACCAAAAGCCAAATCAAAAAGGATTCATGTCCTGGCGATGGAGGAAGACACTGACAAAGGGAGTGTAAATAGTCAGGATCATCTCATAGAGAGGCAGGAAAACACTGCTGGTAAGGACAAGCATATAGGTGGGGGAGGGGGGGGGGAGGGGGGCAATAGTGCAAATCATCTCAAAGATCAAGGGGCAAGAAAAAAATTGATGGTAAGAACAGTAATACAGGCTGGAGGGAGGGGGTAGGAGCAATAATGCAGACCATTTCACCATTTTATAGAGAGACAAGAGAATACACTGCTGGTAAGAACAGGCATATAAGAAAGAGGGGGTGATCATAGAGAAGTAAGAAAATGCTGCTGGTAAGAACAGGCATACAAGCAAAAGGAAGAGGGGGTTGACACTAGTGCTAACCATCTCAATCAGCAGCAAGAAAGCATTGCTGATAAGAATAGGCATGCAGGCATAAAGGGGAAGGACAATGGTGAAGACCACTTCAAAGAGAGGCAAGCAAACTCTGCTGGTAAGGACAGGCATACAAGACACCAGTGCAGACCAACTCAAAGTCTGCTGGTTAGATCAGACAAGAAGTTGGGAAGGTGGGAGGTAACAAAGTGGGGGCTGCAATATATAAATAGAGACTGCTGGTATATGCATACAAGACATGTTTTATCAATAATTTGTTTAGAACTTCATTATAGAAGGGAATGTACCATATGTCAGACACAATACTCTTCATAGAAAAAATTACAGAAAAATCAATGCTATACTGAAATCTAGCCTCAGGAAAATTCAGGTGTTCAAACAGAGTTGTATAATATAATATATGTTATTGATTTAGTTGGACATCTTAGAAAGACAGATGACAATATTTTATGGAGATCTGTGATCATAAAACATGGAAAAGATACAGACAGTTAGTCAGGCACATTAGTTAAACTGAATATTTCAACTAGTTTATAAATGAAGGTTATGACCACTGTTGACCTTGACCTCTTCATTTCAATCTCAATTGAAAAACACATTTGATAGTTTGATAGGTTTTTTTAGTCACCTAAGTCACTCAGGTGACCTATTTTTATCTGTTTTTGTCCATCATCGTGCTTCATCTGTTAACATTTGAACATTTTCAGCATTTTCTTTGGAACCGCTAAACTTATTTCAACCAATTTTGGCATATAACATCTATGAACGAAGGGGAACAAAATTATGACATTCAAGGTCCCTGCTTCCCTGGAGCCTGAGGGATGGGGCTAAAACCATCACAATTAATGCAATCTTTAGAAGTCTTCTTCTTTACTCCTGGACATCATGCAGTTGAACTGTTGTCATGATTGTATTGAGCCCTCTACTGAAATTGTGAAATTCATGGCCCCAGGCTTAGGGATTCTGGACGTAGGGCAGGTTCTTATGATCATAAAGTGAAAATCTTTACGAATCATATCTCCCCCTGTTTATTTAGCAGATAGACTAGGTGCATGGTTATGATGAGCAAGTGGGATTCTTCAAAAATTGTAAAATTTGTGGCCCCAGGGTCAGGGGTTCTGGAGGATGGGGGGCTCTATTGATCATTTAATAAAATATCTTCTTCTCTGTTCCTGGCTATTAAGCAAACAAACTACATGCATAGTTATGAGCAAGGATGCTTCTTCCATTGTGCATTACATGACCCGTAGGTCAGGTGTTCCGGTGTTAGGGCAGGGCTGTATTGATTATATACTTTCATAGTTTTTAATGGTCAGGTAGACTTGAATAATAGATAAATAAAATGAGACAAAAATACCCAATTTTTGTACATTAAATGTTCTTCAGAAACCAAGAGAGGCCAATATGAGAGGGGATGAGATGGGTTTACCATGGTTTTACTAATAGTGCTCAAGCACTGTTGATATTTTTAGTTTACATGGTTGTGACAAATGGGGCAAGTACAGGCAAGTAAATAGATTTACTTAAAGATTTGTTATCGAGTACTAGACTAATTATTTTGTTAATCCCTCATCATCCTATTTCTTTTGTTTTGGGCAACATAGCTTCATCTATTAGTTTATTTTGTTTTATTTCATACTTCAGAAGTATAGAATCTATGGATCCTCTACAGTGTTGTATAATACTCGGGTCACCATTAAGGTTCTTGAGCCTCTTATTTTATTTATTTGTTTATTTATTTTTTATTTATTGTTATTGTAAGTAGAGATATATCACAACTTTTGCATATATAATAATGCAATTTTTTACATCAGAAAATATACCTGTTTTAGTTAACCATTGAACCATGGATACAATTTTTACGATAAATTTTACTAACTGCCCTAGATTTTGCCAGCAGTAATAAACACAGTCATCTATACATGCTTTAAACAGAATTTGAGTCATGCTCTTAAATATGCATATATTGACAATGCAATAAGAAAAAATATTGTCAAATTATTTAATTACCATATTAAATGCCACTGAAATATATATTTCGGTTAGGAATTTGGTGTATATATATTGTAGACGGATATCCTTTTGAACTTCACAGAAAGATTATGGTAATCAGCAAGACAGAAGATTCTTTTTTGTAGAACTAATTTTAGTATAATTACGTGCTGCAGGATCTCTTTCCAGTTTGGGTTTTTTTAACCACCATTGAAGTTAGAGGTTATATTTTAATTATTAGTGATTGCCTCAAGCTGTATATTTACATTTCAGGATTTGTGTGTTTTAGTGAAACACTCTGAAGGCTGGGTGTCAGTAGTAATACAAACTGGTGTTTGGAAGTTTATTCGTATATGTATATATTAAATTTTAAAACAACATTAAAAATGTAAGTTTTAACAAAGCACTTTTGTAATCTATTAATGTCTTTGTTTTTTTACTTGTTAACAATTAACAAGTAAATTTGATTGGTTTTATTTTTACAGGAAATATTGAAGAAGGTGACCTAGAACCAGTTAAAGAGAAAGTAGATGACAAACCAGATGTAGACATGTCAAGTGAAGAAACCTCAGAGAGCAAGACAGAGGGAAGCGGTACTGATAAACCAAAGCAGGGACCCTCAAACGACGATATCATCCCAGTGAACAAAGAGGATTCTCAGACTGACTCAAATCAGGATAACACAGAACAACAGGGTAAAAGTCAAAATGGAAGATTGGCTGGTATGAAAACGAAAGTATTGGCAGCATTCACCGCAAATAAATCAAAGGATCGACCAGAGGAAGGAAATGATGTCACAGGAAAAGAAGCTGAAGTGAGGTTCAAATTAGACAATAAGAAGCTCTCTCTACAAGAAAAAGACTTCAAAAAGAGGGTGCATGATGTGGAGGAGGGGATATTTTCTGTGACCAAAGAGGACTTGGAGAGGAAGAAGAAGAGGACCGAAGATAAAGATGAGGTGGATACAGCCTCAGTTTGGTCCTACTTCATGCCCAAGAAGAATTTCCAGTACTACTTTCAGCACCCATACTTCCGGCTTTTCATAGCCTACTTTGTGACTTTTTGTAATTTTCTGATTTATGCTGAGGACCCAGTGGCACATTCTATGAAGGAATGCACCATTCCAATGGTGGGGAACGACTTTGCTTTTGTGTTGACTAGGTATGCTCCCAATGCTTGGAGTCTTCTCAAGGTTTTCCTTTGGCTCTCAGCAATTGTGCTTGGAATTGTGATCGGAAAATTGGTTGTGCACGGGTTATTCTTCAGTGAGTATCTTTATTCTTCAAATTTTTTTTCAACTAGAATCTTTACTGAAAAGTTAAAAATGACTTATGATTTTGGCTTATATGAAACAGAATCAGTGAAATTAGTAAGTTTTGATTGAGCCACCTGGGTTGTTCAGGTGACTTTTTGACATCACTGTTTGTTTGCTGTATTATTATACCCCCTGGAAATTAATTTTGGGGGGTATATAAGAATCACCTTGTCCGTCTGTCTGTCTGTCCAAACATGTCCGGTTCATATCTTTCATTATATATATTGTTTGCAGTGCATGGCTTTGGTTTAAACTAATATTTTTTGTCCCCTGGTTTCACTGAAAGTGAAGGATATTAATTTGGGTCTGTTCATCCATCTGTCTGTCTGTGATCCATATCTGTGTGTAACACTTTTGTTTCCAGACAAAAACAATACTTTCATTTCCAAATGATATCATAAAAAGCCTTTGAGATTTTGCAATGAAATTTATATTACAACTCCCTATGGCATACAGAAGACCCCTATTGATTTTGAGGTCAAAGGGTTAAAGATCAAGGTCAGAAATTCATATATTGCAGAAAATGATTTCGAGATGATAACTTGAGTTCTCTGAGAGGTTTTTCATTTAAATTACATATTTAACTCCTTGTGACTTATAGAAGAACCCTTTTGATTTTAAGGTTAAAGGTCATAGTCAGAAACTCCCAATGACCCCTTTTGATTTTTAGGTCAAAAGGTCAAGGTCAGAAATCCATTTCCTCCTTAAAATGGTTCCTAGTGATAACTCTAGTTCTTTTTGAGGTTTTGCAATCAAATTTTATACCTTTAGTCAATACGACTTAAAAAAGACTCCTATTTATTTTTAGAGCCAAAGGTCAAAGACCAAAGTCGGAAATTCATATATTGCAAACTTATTTTCCAGGTGATAACTTTAATTCTCTGAATTGGCTTGTTTTTCATGTTATTTCTGTATTGTTGATGATAAAGTGTGTGCAGTTCTTTTAGAATTGACTCTCCCTGGAAACCTAATATAATTCATTTCTAAAATGAATTATTAAAGATAATTTAAAAGTTAATTATGATAATATTAAAGATATGTGTATTGCATTGTGGAAATATCTTAATCCTAAAGTAAAATACATGTGCATGCATGTTTTAAAGTAAGATCAATATTTATTATTTTAGGGGGTGAGCGAGGGGGGGGGGGGGGGTAATTTTTATTTTTAAAAGTAGTGTAAAATGCAGTAATGTGAAAATGATGTTGCATATTTTTGTTCATTTGTTGTACATGTATGTGTAAATGGTCTGTTTGTCTTTGATATATGATGTAGAACTATAAATCCCTGATTGAACTTTATGTTTGCACAGTCAAAAAAAAAAAAAACCTTGTGGCATTTACTAGAATTAATCAATGATTAAAAAGATGTTACTTAGCATATCAAGACATGTTAACTAAAAATTGTAGAGATTGTAGAAATAAATATCTTGATGTCAATTTCATTAGCAGCTGTCTGTGTTGTAAGGTAATTTAACGTTTTTCACTGTATAGCATAGGGTCTAGGCTTTTTGTTGAATAAATTAAGTTGGATGATGACCAGTCTAATTTATTTTCGTTATGAAAAATACGTTTGTTTGATTGTGTAGAGCATGTTGCATGCTATCATTGCATTCTTAACAGAATTATTTTTAAGTTATTAACATCCAGCCAATTTTATTCACAATTTTTTTACAGGCAATTAAACTTAGATAGATGTTTGAATTGAGAAAGGAAGGATGAAAACTCACACATTCACAATGCCCATGTAAAATTAAAACACTATGTACCTAATTTTATTGTACTTATGCCACATTAATTTTGCTAATACCTTGTATAAAAATTAAACCATCTTGGCCACTGCTTCAAACAGATTTTTAAAACAAGAAGTTTAAGTGAAGTCCCAAGCGAGTTTTATGATCTTGATTGATATCATGTTTAAATTACATTAAAGTTTGCCTCTGTCAGTATTTTTTATCCAATGCAAAGTAATGATACCTGTACAGGTTTAATATGACTGAGACTGATCTCCATTTTTACCCAGTCCTTTAACATACCCTGGTTATTGTAGACCGCTTGTGTCGGCTGAGGATGTTTGAAGATGACATGGGTTCCTTCATGGTTATGTTTCTGACAACATTGATCAGTGTCTTTGTCTTTTCCTGGATCTACAACGCCTTCCTGATGATCGGAGGGAGCGATACGGAAGATTACCGAATCTCAGATCTCATGGGCATTTCTAACTCCCTCTTCATGAAGATGGCTGCCACTGGCACCTGGTGTGGAGACTTCTTTACAGCCTGGATGGTAAGTACCTTTTAACCTCGTACTAACTTCGTATATTACAAGTTTTGAAAGTAATTATAATTTTATATTTATATCCACTAAATATTTTCTCCTTTATTTCTTATGAAAACCAATTGCTGTTTTCACTGCATTAACAAGTAATAGATAGAACTGGTTTTTTATGGCCATTTTTGTTAAAAAGATTTCTTAAGAATTAGGTTTTCCATCAAAGTAACATAATGGACCAACTATACAATATTTTACGTACTTTCATCTTCAACATTCTCAGTATGAATAATTTATTCAGATATAAATATAAATCTTTGCTTATTAATGCAGAGAATCATTGCAGAAAAAAAGTTATATAAACCTAGATGTCCACCTAAGAATCGATCAGGTCTGTTCACCCTGAAACATGTTCGCCCTGATACCTGTGTGGCCTAAATTCACTTGGGGTCCATTTGCCCTCTTTTAATAATGATTTGTTTCTGGAAAATTAAATTATGTCTGATTTTTGCAGTTGGGTATACATGTATTTAAATTAGTTCAACTTCAAAGTTGTTTATAGTAAAATACAGTGGAACTTTGGTGTTCTCTAAAATTGATAAATCAAATACCAGGGATATGTCGAATTGAATTAGAAGTACGAACCCTTTTTTCTATATATTCTACCCTTAATATCTTGAACCTTTTTTTCCTCAATCCCATCCACTTCAAGGTAACGGAGTTTGACTGTAATTTATACAAGAGTTAACTAGTATTATTTGTTTTTAATTGGTTAAAGAGATTGAAATAAAAAGTTCAGCATTGCTAAGAATTACATGTAGTTTTAATTGGCAATACCTATAGGTAACAGATATGATGCTTCAGGAGAAATTGTACCCAAAATGGGCAGTGGGGGCACGTCGGTGGTGGAATACTGGATACCGCCGCATCATTCTGTTCTGGACCATCACTACACTGGCCTCCATTATTGTGGTGGTTGTAATCGCCACAGACTACATCCAGTGGGACAAACTGAACCGCGACTTTCTACACAGCAATGAGGTTTCCAGGGCTATGCTAGCTTCTTTTATTCTTGTGATGGATATTTTCATTGTTTTACAGGTTAAGTAGCTTTTATTACATTTTAAACAGTGGACATGGTGAAATACTGTAATTTATCCATTGATTTGAGAGTGCTATTTTTCACTTTGAAAAAAAATATCAAAAGGGATATTTTTCACTGTGAAAATATCAAAAGTGCAGCAAAACTCTCAATTTTTTTTATTCCTTTCACTAAGAATGTTAAAAAAAAATTATTCCATGTTATAAGATAGCAAGAGTAAATAATCCATCCTTACACAGACTAAAACTGTCGAAGTTTCTCCAATTTCTTGTCAGTATCACTGTTTACCTTTCCAAACTATGATGCCTCACAACTGCTGAACTATGATGTCACAGCCTATGACAGTGTTAAAAAAGACAGAGGCAAAAGGAAAATCAAAGAACATGATTAACAAACAGAAAATTAAATATTTTGTGGTTTGATATGGAGTTTATTTCACCCTCGAGACAGGATTTTTTTTTTTTTTTTTTTTTTTACTTGTGCTTTGCCATCGTGAAAATGTTGTTGTTTTTTTTTTTTTTATAAAATACATTCCCATTCATGAAATAAATTCCACATCCAACTACAAAACATAAAATATCCTCTATTTATTTGTTTATATGTGAAAAACTTGTCAGAAGTATTTTATGGGGGAGCCTTGTTGGTCAGTAATTGAACTCCAAAAGCTTTAGATTTTTATCTTATTTGATGATCAAGTTTATTTGACAAAATCAAATCAATAAAAATCAGAATTATCACTTGTTGATCATCTACATACAACTGTATATTTTTATCTTTGGTGAAAAACTGAGGACCTATGTTTGTGCAAATTGAATCTGTAAACATTTTGAACTTTTGCAGAATGCATGATTCCAAACATAAAAATTAAAGGTGTGACATATTCTATGTGAATGTATTTTTAAAAGAATTCACTCCATATATATTTCAGGTCTGTTATTTTACATGTACCACGTTCCTCTGTAAATTTCTTATCACACTCTTCAGAGTTTTTCATTTAATGTTATGATATGTCTCAAGGGTCAAGATCATTGCAGGAATCTCAAAATACTAGTAATTGTAGTAGCCAGATAAGTGGGGGTATTCTCAAACACCCGCTAGATGACTAGGTTCCTTCTCACTGCTCTCTAAGATGCACAGTTTATGGAAATTATGCAAATTGCATCAGATTTAAATGAACATTATCATTCAAGTTCAAATTAATATAGTGGTCAGCATTTCTTTTGGATAATATCAGAGACTGTGAATTTCAAAGACTTTAAGTCATCTACCTTACAGAAGTTCCTTAAGTTTTAAGGATGTTCTTGTTACATGTAATAATATATCTATGTAAGTACTAAGAATTTCACATCAAGAATGATGAATATATGCATTTTAACTTATGTACAAAGTTGTTGATGTCTTAACCGTACTTGATATTTGTCACAGTGATTTAAGAAAGCAAATAAATTGATGCATTTGATGCAGTGAAAAGACATATGGACTGCTGTGTCTGACTTTGGTGACATAGCAACATACATACCACTACTCTATAGCTGGAGTGACCAAAATTTGCCAATGTCAATCTGTATACAGAGGTCTTGCTTAAACTTGCAAAACTTGGCATAATCTTATATGAGATACATAATTCAAAGAATATGATTCAGAAGTAATACTCCATACATATTACATAAATCTGATGTAATTTGAGCTTCCAAATAAATGACATTCATATAGATTTTGGTATTGTACATTTTGGTTTAATGAGAAAATTCCCTGGCATTTGGGATTGTAGCTTGATTTATTAAACATAATATGTGGTTGCATAGGGAAAAAATGATTCCAATTAATAAGTAATTTTGAGTGCATTTGTTTATTTTCACTACCAACTGCATTATGTCTGTATAGACGGAGGAAATAATTTGAGTAAATTGGAATGAAGTGAAATTTCATCTTTTAATTTTAAGGATTTTTTTTTTACTTTGGACAAAATTAGAAGGAAGATTAAAGTATTATAATATCTAAATGAAATGTTATCTTTAAGCCAGGAGCTTGATTTACACTTGTAGTATTAATAACATTTGATGTAGAGGTTGATTTTAAAACACTTTCACAGGTTCCAATTGCAAGTAGTCTGGAATATTTAGAAAACATGCATTACATTGGGGGAATAATTAAAGTATCAGATTTACTTCACTTTCAGAAAATTGTTCAAATGAGAGAAAAAAAAACTTGATTAAGTAGAAATTTCAAAAGTTGCATTGAGAACTGAATGCTGAATAAATACTGTATGAATACTAGTGAATTTGAGGAAAATGTTGCTAGATTTGAGAACCTTTTGGTGTATATTAGGATAATCAATTTTAATTCTTTCTGTTGGCAGGACTGGGATTTCCCCCATTTTGTGAGTGCAATAGACATTAAACTTCCTGGTATTAATACAGCTCACATCAAATTCAACATACCTAAATGTCTGAAACGGGAGGTGTGGCAGGTCCATATCACAGGTAATACATGGTGGTCATATCACAAGTAATACATGGTGGTCGTACCACAAGTAATACATGGTGGTCATATCACAAGTAATACATGGTGGTCATATCACAAGTAATACATGGTGGTCATATCACATATAATGTGTAAGACACAGGTGGTCATATCACAAGTAATGCATGGTGGTCATATCACAAGTAATACTTGGTAGTCATATCACAAGTAATACATGGTGGTCATATCACAAGTAATACTTGGTGGCCATATCACAAGTAATGCATGGTGGTTATATCACAAGTAATACTTGGTGGTCATATCACAAGTAATACATGGTCATATCACAAGTAATACTTGGTGGTCATATCACAAGTAATACATGGTGGTCATATCACAAGTAATACTTGGTGGCCATATCACATGTAATACATGGTTGTCATATCACAAGTAATACTTGGTGGTCAAATCACAAGTAATACATGGTGGCCATATCACAAGTAATACTTGGTGGTCATATCACAAGTAATACTTGGTAGTCATATCACAAGTAATGCATGGTGGTCATATCACAAGTAATACTTGGTGGTCATATCACAAGTAATACATGGTGGTCATATCACATATAATATGTAAGACACAGGTGGTCATATCACAAGTAATACTTGGTAGTCATATCACAAGTAATACATGGTAGTCATATCACATAGTGGTCATTTCACAGGTAATGTACATTGTGACCATATGTACTGCAAAACATTTGAAGAGGAGAGGGAAGGAGGGAAGTAATGCAAAACACAGATTATTTGAAGATATTAAGATAATTAATTTTACATTTTTATTATATATAAAATGCAAAAAATGTATCAAGCTATATACATGTATGAAGAATGTGTTGTGATAAGAAAAATTTCAATAACTAAAATGTTATTTCATGGTTGAAAGGTACATGGATTTAATATTACATGTGGTTGATTAAAATTCTCCAAGATTATCAATTCATAGGCAGACATTGACTATCTGTGTCTTCATACATTTGCAGGAAAGTGGTTTAACTATGGAATCCTATTTCTAGTCATGATCTTGGATCTGAACATGTGGAAGAACCAGATCTTTTATTATCCATTTGACTATGGTCAGTACACAGATTCTGATGGTAAAATCCACAGTGTGACAGACGAGTACAGCTTAAAGACATTCAACGAGACACAACTGTCCTACAGTTATAGATCAGTGACCGTTAATCCAAACACCAATACTACTTACCTTGCTGGAGATACAGTGATGAATGCACGCTACAACGGGTATCATGTTGCAATCAAACTAATTGCTTTTATTCCTGCAGTTGTGGCATTTGTGACATTTGGGGTTCTGTTGTGGAAGTTTGGCAGACGCGTGCCTCATGATAAAGATGTGTATGCTGGGCGATTAAAGAAGAGACACAGAGATGGCAGTAAAGTTAGGTTTAGGTTCCGAGGACTTGCTGCTATGATAAGAGCTTTCAAACTCAAGCCAAAAGTTGATGATAATCGACCAAGCTTGGTCTCTTATGAGCTAAAAAGTGAAAGTAATGCTGAAAATTCTCAAGATACAGTTTCCTGATTTAGTACTTTTTAAATTTTTTATTTATTTTTTTTTTACTGCTCCCTTAGAGTTATTTCTCTTGTAACAGTAACATGTTTGTGTAAAAAAAAAATCCAATACAAATGTCTACGGTAATCACTTTTATGGTTTGTGATTTTGATGATAAATTATATCTACTGTGGAATCATTTTACATGTAATTTGTGGGGGTCAGTGTTTAGGCAACCAAATTTTGACTGGTTCATGAGGGCAAGATTTCATAGGTAACTCATGCATAAGAAGAGTCAATTAACTGAAACAGTGACAAAGTCATGTTTGTGGAGATGTAGATGACCCATAAAATAAAAAAAAAAATTGTCCTCCACAAACAGTAATGATTCCACAGTATTTAACAAGGTTATTTTTGTACTAAATGTTCAAAATCAGCCAGGACTTGAGCTCCCAAATACATATACCATAACAATTTTTGTCTGTTTTTGATACCTCTTAATTGCCATTTTTATTGTGCATATTTTTAATCTTTACCATGTTTATTCTTTTGGTACTGAGCTTTATTTAATTCTTTACATTCCATTATTTTTTCTCTCTGAGTTGAGATTCATTTTAAGTGTTCCATACCACACCTTCTTCAAGTTCTCAAAGTTCTCATCTTGATCAAACTCTTCAGACCATTTTTTAGTATAAAATGCTTACTTCTCAATGAATTAACCTTTTGATAAAAGTTCTTTACTAATTCTTCAGTGACAAAAATAGCTGCGTTAATTTAAAACAAAAATCAATAATCTTTGTGTCTGAAAAGAAAAAAAAATTATGTGAAAGCTTATCTACATAATTTGGATTTGAATTTTCAAAATTGATATTTTTTTTTTTTTTACCAAATTGAGGCCACAGTGTTTGAAGCAGGACTATGTATTTGAAAAATGTATGAAATTGTACAATAAAAAAATATAGTTGCATGAAGATGGGATATCCTTCAGAATCTTCTTTTCAAAAACAGCAAGGTTACACTGAGAATATAAAAGCTTTAAATCCTTCAAAGTGTTCATGTCATGGCCCTTCAGATTCAGGGATATGAGGCTGCAACTGAGATTTAAATTTTTTCATATTTATGTGGTATAACAATGCTTTAGTGTCTCATTTTGCATGTAATCTTTAAGCATCTTCATGTACCATTTCTTCAAATTTATACAAGTTATAGCACTTGGAGTCAGATTGGACCAACAAAAGATGGAACAAAGTTTACATAGAAATGTATAATGTAAATGTAGAAAAATGTTCATGAACAACATGACTCCATATTAAAAACTTGATATTGAGCATCAATAAACCGTAGTTTTCAAATGTGAAATTCATGTGTATCTCTAAGTTTAACGTGAAAATTTGACGTTGCATTCATCATACTATAAATATTACAATGAATGTTGACTAATTCTGTCAATTATATTTATATACTTGTATTTACATTATTATATGATTCTAAAATACGCAATCAATTTCCATATCATTTAATTTATATCATTTTGTATTTATAATTATACTATTATTTTTGTTGTATTTTCATTATGACTCTTGGCATGCATTTGACACAGCTGTCCTAATAATGTAGGTCTCCATCAGAGTAGTTTATCATTAGGGTAAGTGTTAAATTGGGAAAAGCTGATTTATTGAAAATATTTTATTTAGTGTAAAGTCAATTCAAATGATGCTTTTACTTTTGTCTATCAAAGCAAACATTCCTCTATCACAGAGATTTTACCCCTCTCTCCAGTTTTTAGCTCTACTGGTCAGAGACCAGAAGAGCTTAAGTGATAGTTGTCTGTTGTCAGTCCGTCTGTCTGTCTGTCCGTCTGTAACCAATTTTTCAAAATGCTACTCCTCCTACAGTTTTAGTCTGATTTCAATATAACTTGTCACACAAGTAGACTACACTAAGATACATAATTCTGTGTATAGGTTTTTGATTTCGATGAACGATGTTGACATAGTTACTAAAAATAGAGATTTCTGGGAAGTACTTTTAAAACGCTACTCCTACAGTTTTGGTCTGATTTCAATATAACTTGGCATGCAAGTAGACTCGACTTTGATACATAATTCTGTCTATCGATTTTTGATTTTGATGAACAGTGTTGCCATGGTTACTAAAAATAGAAATATCTGTGAAACTTTTAAAACCCTACTCCTCCTGCAGTTGTGGTCTGATTTCAGTATAACTTGGCACACAAGTAGACTAGACTATGATACATAATTCTGTATATTGATTCTTGATTTCAATGAACGGTGTTGCCATGGTTACTAAAAATAGAAATTTCTTTGGAAAAAATTTCAAAATGCTACTCCTCCTACAGTTTTGATCTGATTTCAGTATAACTTGGCACACAAGTAGACTACACTAAGATACAAAATTGTCTTTATTTTTTTTGATTTTGTTGAATGTTGTGATGGTTACTAAAGTTGAAATTTCTGTAAAATTCTTTTAAAAGGCTACTCCTCCTACAGATTTAGTCTGATTGCAATAAATCTTAATAACACAAAAATCCCAATAAAACAAAAAGAGACTTCACCAAGAATAACTATTCCATGTATTGCTGTTGCAAACTTTCAAGTCCAAGTGCTACTTTTAAGTAGAAACCAGTAGAGCTACAGTCTCGTCAGAGACTTCCAGTTAGTAATGTAAATGGTTTTTGTAGGTACACTGTAATTTGAGTTTTTTTGTCTGTAATCTTAAGTCTGTAATATCATGGGTTTATTTCCTATGAATATTTGATAATTTTGAGATATAAATAGGTACTATAAATGATTTTGATTGTAACATTATATCCTTTTTTTGGACAAAATGTATTGTACATTAATGGCAATCCATTTATATATCAGTATCTTTGAGGCCTTTACATTAAAAAAAAGAAGAAAAAAAAGGAGTATAATTCTGAAGGCTAATCAGTTATTCGTATTTTGGAACTCAATTGCGGGACAAATACGGATAAATATTAAACAGCTCTGCTATTGTAATTGAGCAATATGGATTTAAGTTGATCACTTTCAAACATTTGCAATACTTGCTCCATATAAATAATTTTAAAAGGGAGAATATGGTGTATTTGTGTGGAAATGAATTTGAATTGATCTGTAGAAAGATAATGGAAAACTTCAAATAAACATTGATAGTTAAAATGCATGCAAAAGGCAATGTAGATATATATTGATATACATGACCATGATATTATGTATTTAATTTACATGTATGTATAGATAGTACATATTTTTTGTAAGGTTGATGTTAATTGAAAAATTAATCAAAGTTGTATAATGATTGTGATACTGTAATATGAATTATTTTGTATAACAATATTTATCTCTCTGCAATAAAAAAAGGGGGGAGGGGTAAATTGGTTAGTTGAAGAATAATGAAGACTTTTTTGTGTACATTGATACATTCCCCTCTGTCTGAAACATTACCATTAAATGGAGAAGCATTGAAACTTACAGTTGAAAAAAATGCATATCACAAAATTAGTCAAAATAATGGAATATTGGACAGTTAACAATATTTTTTAGCCAATCCTTTAAAAGCAGGAAGAGTTTAAGCTTATGAATACATATAACATGTAAAATCGGTGCCATCAGTCCAGTCTTGTTAGAACTTAATGTCTTATTGTTGAAAGTTGTTGTATTGTTACACAGTGATTTATTTTGTTAATGTTATCTGAATGTGTTCTTATTGTTTCTTTATCAGACCATTTTACAACTAAATCAAATCCTTTTGAATCTGATTTGGTTATTACACAGTTGATATTTTATATTGTGGAGCTCATGGTACTGAGCTCAAAATGTAATTATGGTGAAGAGTAATTTAGTAAACCCCAAAGACTTTTATTCGTTACATGTATGCATGATTTTTATAATATATGAGGAATGTCCTTATATGTAGTAGAATTGGCATGTTGAATGCATGCCATTGATACTAATTTCTCTGATGGTTTATACATTATCTAAAAAATTTCAGCATTAATGAATACTGCAGAGTGCTACAATTTCATGGGACAGACCTTGTATATGTATTTACTATATATTTTTTACAATTATAAATCAATGTTTTTGAAAATCAATGTTGCAATTAATTTTTATGGAAGCAAGTTAAGCTGTCAGTCAAAATATTTTTCTTCTTGAAAGAAAGATCTTTCATACTAATTAACATACTTTTATGGTCATAAAAAGCATGCAATGATGTTTGAAATAAAAGTAGTGTTAGAATTGGATTTAACTGACAAACATTTTATTATATATTTATAGATTATTTATTTTCATAAAGTAAGTATACATAGTACGATTAAAAGCAACCTTCTGATAATTTCTGTCTGTGCCTTCTAGTTTTAATGGCTGATAAATTTTACAGTAATATTTAAGTGGAAATAAATATAAAAAAATATCCTTGCTTTGTGTTTATTTGATTATGCACAATATATATGGTAACCAGAAGTCTCTGACGAGACTGTAGCTCTACTGGTTTGTACTTGTAACAAAGGAAGAGAAAAGTAGCACTTGAAACTTTGCAACAGCAATAAATAGAATAATGATCCTTGGTTTAATCTCTTTTTGTGGCAAGATTAATTGCAATCAGACTAAAACTGTAGAAAGAGTAGCCCTTTGAAAGAATTTAACAGAAATTTTTAATAACCATGGCAACACTGTTCATCAAAATTAAAAACCGATAATCAAAATTATGTATCTCATTGTAGTCTACTTGCATGCCAAGTTATATTAAAATCAGACCAAACTGCAAAAAGAAGATGTGTTTTGAAAGTATTTCAAAGAAACTTCTGTTTTGATTAACCATGGCAGCACAGTTCATCAAAATCAAAAACTCCTAAACAGATTTATGTATCTTAGTGTTGTCTTCTTGTGTGCCAAGTTATATTGAAATCAGTCAAAACTATAGGAGTAGTAGCGTTTTGAAAGTATTTCACAGAAATTTCTATTTTAAGTAACTATGGCAACACTGTTCATAGAAATCAAAAACTGATTAATATTATTATGTATCTTAGTGTTGTCTACGTGTGTGCCAAGTTATATTGAAATCAGAACCGTAGGAAGAGTAGCATTTTAAAAGTATCTCACAGAAATTTCAATTTTTAGTAACCATGGCAACACCGTTCATTGAAATCAAAAACCCAAACAGAGAATTATGTCTTAATGTAGTCTTATTGTATGCAAAGCAATTTTGAAATCGGACCAAAACTGTTCGAGGATAGCATTTTAAAAAGATTGTTTAGACAGACTGACGGCCGACGGACACCTTACTATCGCATAAGCTCCTCTGGTTTCCGAGTGAAGCTAAAAACTACAGTGCAATTCCAACTGATGGCATGATGCAGACAAGGCTGTGCTGTCTGTATGTGATTGTCATTTTCTAGTTTTCAGTTCCAAACTTGGCATACATCTCATGCTAAAGTATGAAACAAGATTTCTAAAAAGAAGACCAACCTTCCTGCTTGGTACCAGTTTTATAGTAAGACTGAAAGGACTCTCATCAAGGTATTAGATGAGAACTAATCACTTTGCAGCCCCAAACAGTACCACAGGAAATCGGGACTTAAACATGACATGCATGGCTGACCAGTGAGTTGACATACTCTGTTGCCTGCA